ACCTACACTTTTATCTTATAACTTACTAAACAGATGCGTTTAATACAGTCACTGCATTCAAACCAAATAGTGACCTAATAATAAATAATATTGTAATACAGTGTTTTGCATTTCATTCATTTTTCCCCTAAACCTCCAGCACAGATTATTCCCTCGTAAACGCATAAAACTGGGCGGAGCCACAAGAACCGTCAGCCCTGATTACTCACGGTGAGTAAACGTTTGATTGGACGAGTGAACAGGATTTGGGAGTTACACAGACCAATGAGATTCTTAGATTTGGGAAACGGGGTTACTGTCGTGAGGGGGCGTGGGGTGCCCTGGAGAGACCCCAGAGATAAGCGCAGTCAGAGCGCAAAAACACTCAGTTGGATACACGACGCACAGAGAACCTGCGCAACCGCTACTAATTTCACTTTGGCGCACTAAAAGTGTTCCGATGTACAAATTGTGTACATTGCTTTTCCATCGTGTCAAAAGGATTTATTTGATTTGACTATTACTTCATCACTTGGTATGAGTTTTAGTTATAGCCGTATTACGGGCAATTAATAGCCACTCATTTGATTTATATCCTACTTTTGTTTGCTTTTTAAACGCGGTTTGTAGTCGCATCTTGTAATCAAAAACCGTGGTGATGTTACTGGATGCCGGCCACCAAATCTCTGGTTTAGGGGTTGGCACGTTCACAAGGCATCACTCGGCTGTGAGCGAGACGCAGGACAGAGATATGAGTTTCATGGAATCGACACACATGGGCGCGTTCAAACTGAACCACCCCGATTTGTCCCCGGGCCAGAGCGCAGCTTTTGCGCCCCAAGCAACCAGCTATTCCGCGGCCGCTCTTGGAGCGCATGCGGCGGCGCACGCTGCCTCGTACGCCAGTTCCACGTTTAACTCCACCAGGGAGTTTCTCTTGCGCAGCCGAGGCTTTGGGGATTCGACTCCGGGCAGCGGACAACACCCCATCTTCAGCTCCACAGCAGGGCCTCTCCATCATTCTCACCCGGAAGGTCAGGGTCACCTACTTTTCCCTGGAATCCACGAGCAGCACGGGTCCCATCACGGCTCTCCAAACATGCTAAACGGGCGCCTTGGATTACCCGGTGAGGTTTTCGGGCGAACGGAGCAGTATCACCAAGTGCCCAATGCACGGGCCGATCCTTACGGTCAATATGGCCTAAATATGGGTATGAACATGGCGCACCATCCCGGCGCATTCTACCGCTACATGCGACAACAGTGCATCAAACAAGAGCTCATTTGTAAATGGATCGACCCGGAGCTTGGTGACCCAAAAAAATGCTGCAGCAAAACTTACAGCACCATGCACGAGCTAGTCACGCATGTGTCCACGGAGCATATCGGCGGCCCAGAACAGTGTGATCACGTCTGCTTTTGGGAGGACTGTCCACGGGAGAGCAAGCCATTCAAGGCAAAATACAAACTGGTGAATCATATCCGAGTGCACACGGGAGAGAAACCATTCGCGTGCCCCTTCCCGGGATGTGGCAAGGTGTTTGCGCGCTCAGAGAATCTCAAAATACACAAACGGACACATACAGGTGATTATTTATTGAAGTTCTTTTAAACATGGCTTTTTATTGAATCGCGCAGTACTTGAGTTTAAATGGCCATTTCAGTTTCAAAGCTAGAACTTGAACCTTGTTCTTCAGTAATGCCAAACAACCCTTTTTGCATACGTTTGTTACGCATTGGTGTCTCAACAATCGCAAGTCTAGTTAGTTTTAGATTTGAAATCCTATAGTGATGTTTTATAATTAAAAACAGATGCTTTTGTAAGTGTGAATTGCTCTTAAATTTGAATGCGTAAATTGGTACGATTGCGCCAACGATCAGCCCACTTTTCTGAGAGAGTACTTGTAGTAGTAGCATTCATTGACTCTGTATGTAAAGTTCTAACCAGTGTGGTAAAACATACATCTAAATAGAAAACATTTTGTCTTTCAGGAGAAAAACCGTTCCAGTGTGAATTCGACGGCTGTGACAGACGTTTCGCCAACAGCAGTGACCGGAAGAAGCACATGCACGTTCACACGTCCGACAAGCCATACCTGTGCAAACTGTGCGACAAGTCTTACACTCACCCCAGCTCCTTAAGGAAACACATGAAGGTGAGAATTCAAATCATCTGATAGCTATTCTCTGTTCTCCAATCCATCACCTTGCATATCATAGTTTAGTCGGAATGAACTGATTCTAAGCGTTTGATGCCTTTTGTAGGTTCACGAGGATCAAAGTCCGGTGGTCGACTCCTCTCCTGCCGGAAGCTCCGGGTACGAGTCCTCCACTCCCTCCAGTTTGATCTCTCCGTGTTCAGAAGCACACAGCACCATGTCGCCGGACTCTGCCGCGCTCAACAGCAGCGGCCACGGCAGCTTAGCGTCCAATTTTAGCGAGTGGTACGTTTAAGGACTCCGCCAAGAACTGCATATAAAAGAAACTATTATTTGTAAATAGTAAACGAGGGTTTATGTTCTCAGCATGTCGAAGATTCAGTGTTGCACTGTGCCTCAAGGAAAAGTATTATGTGACTAAAATGAAGGCTGTTTTCATGTTCTTTGGTAATTTGCCAAAGACGAAGGATGGATGTATTTTTCTGACTGTATAAATGTTTTACAGTAAGGTCGTGTCAAGTTACGATGTTTGAATACAATATTCCTGTCATTAGAATATCGAGTATTTGACGTTACATGATTGTCTTACCATAAAAGTATTAACGGGGATCCTAAGTGCCGAAGTCAAATGTTGTGCGTTAAAATGGACACAATTCTGTGAATGTATATTATTGTAAGAATTATTTCCATGTATGTTACAGATATCTGGAAATCATCCACTTCGAGTAATTTTGAGAAAAGCCTCTTGTTTTTAAATTATGGTATAGCTTATACTTGATTAAAAGTACAAAATATTTATGAAAAACTCCTCGACTAAAATGTGTACAGAATTGTTACCTTTAAAGTGTTTGTACGTTGTTATTCATTTGAAGATGTAAATTCTTGCGATAACTAATGCCAAACCGTAAAATGAAGGAAAATACATAAAGACAATAAAAGGAAACAAAAAATAAAACCAAATGTCTCATTCGTTAATTTACAATTTATATGGGACCCAGACCTTTCTCCTCTGTAGTGGACATTATATTTCAGTGAATTTCTCTGAGATCTTACATGGCACAGTTTACAGATGTCCTGTAAAGAACACATAATTCAGGGCTTTTCAGAGATACCAAATGTTTGGAGGTTTGACTATGACCACGCCCTCTCCTTAGTCTTTAAAAATGTCTGACGTTAATGTAGTGATCAAATGTAACACTCTTATGCATATGGTAACATTTTTTTATTAATTGTAATAAATAATATTTATGTTATGAAACAGGACATTAAGGGGGAGGGGGGGGGTCATATTTCAATATATCAAATATTAGATATTATTATGAAAATCTTGCCAGTTATTACTCCCATTATTACACTTGAAGCGTTCAGATGCAAAAGTGCCATCTGAAAGTTTCTTCTAAAATCAGCATTTTTCTCAGGCTCTCATGTGTTCAGAACATAAATAACTCAACATAAATATAGAGCATGAAAAAAAAAGCTCAATTTTGAAGAAAATTTCAGATGGCACTTTAATATGCAATATTATAAGTGTAATAATATGCAACTATTAATATGCAAATTAGATACAGTGTATAGATACATTGTATATAATGGGAAAAAACTCTTATGGCAATTTTACACACATATTGCATAAAGCAAAATGGTATATCAAATCATTCTGTTACATCTTTCATAACATGGTTGAGAATCATCTTTATACAACGTTTGGTACAAAACAAATATCCTGAAACCTAAAAATGTATTGGTGATTTTAAAAAATCCATTGTTTTTGCCTATTCATGCCATTTTATTTATTTATTTTTGATTGATTGATTTATTAAATTGAGTCCTGGTGTCCTCCACAGAGAACAGCATAGCATATGCATACAATATCATTCTTCAACATTGTTATTTTCCCATTTTTTTCTTATGCTCTAAACAATGTAATGACTTGAACAAATACTAAATTCACAAAACGTTTTTTTCTGGGTCACAGGAGGATATGATAAGAACGATTGTGATTCATAATGACATAACGACCTATATATTATTCTTTGTGTTTATCTTGGGCTGTTTTCCCCCCGAATCATGCTAGCTAGACTACATTCACAAACACAAATGGCCCGAAAGTCCTCATACAAAAGTACTTGAGTCCTCAAAATAGTTTCAGGGCGTAGCTGTATGACTGCCATTACATTTTCAACAAAATAGAAATTAGACATACACTGTCATTGTCACCATCATTTGCAGCATTGGCTTTCTGGATGTTTACTTTCAGGAAAACGTTTCAATACAAAACAAAGAAATACAAATAATAATGTGATGAATAATAGTACCTACTTGATAGTTGAACCTGTTCCAAATTGAAACCATTTTAACACAATAGCCTACATGCCAAATAAAATAAATAAATTGCCAAATAAATGAAAAAAAAAAAAATATATATATATATAAACCTTTAACAACTGCCACCCATTTTAGTAAAATATTTAAAATAATCTTTAATGCATAGTCATAATTTAGGGATTCGTGCAGATGCAATAGAATAGCCTTCAAGGTCACGGTTTTTCTCAGCAGCCTGTCATCCAACTTTCAGTTGTTGTGTCCCCCCGCTTCGGTCTCTGACACATCTGAGCACATCTGATTGGTCGAGAGGGCAAACACCCCCAAACTATGTGTATTACGTCATAAGAACGCGCCGCCCTGCTCTCGGCCAGCTGGGTTAAGGCCAGAAGGGATACAGAAAAAACTACTGGGCATGCGCACATCAATATTCCGTAATTTTTCTTACACTGTACAACGATAATTACTATTTTTTCATTATTGTAAGGGGGAGGTTTAGGGTTGGGGTAGGTGTAGACGTTAATAAAACACAATCTAATAGGCTGAAAAATGAATTTATAGTTAGCTTCCGGTTTTTGCTGTATCCCTTCTAGTCACAACCAGGCAGCTGCGGTTATCATGGCGGCTTACAGAAGCGCTGCAGGTTTTCAAAGAGTTTTGCATGCTGTTAAGGTGAGCGTTTGATGTTTTAAGCCGCTGCTTGCAGGAAAACAATTCATATTTCGAATCTGCTAATTTGTCAGAATTGTGTACAAAGCATTGCTTTGTTATCGGACTAAGCGCTCTGACTTGTCTTATAAGATCCGCAAGAATGTTCACTTTGGCTTGTCACGACACACGGACAGTTTGATTGATTCGTGACTGTCAAGTGTTATTTCTGAAACATCACTCGCTCCTCAGAAGTATATGGTGTGTCCTTCATTGTTATCGTTGAAGAAATCACGACCAGATGTCTTTATCATTGATGGCTGTATGAACTCATGTCAATGTCAAAATGATTTCATGAAGTGTTTAGCTGATGCAGCTGGGCTGAACGTATTTAAAGACGTTTTGTCTGTGCAGCGAATCTGTATTGAATATTTCATTAAAAGATTCCTAATAGCAACAACTTTGAAAGCAATTTATATTTTTGATTGGATCTAGTTTCCACTTTTATCAATGACTCTCAGTCAGTCAGATTTTTTTGCTGATTCAAACTGTGAATCATAAAGCTTCTTTGTCCATTTTGAGCCGTTATAAGCCATGTTATAATAGTAGGTTTCATTCAGACATATGAATTAAACACGCATGCCATTGTTGTTCAGAAAAAATATTTAGACAGTTTTATTACTGACTCGATATATATATATATATTTAAAGAAAATCTGTGTTGATGGTGGTGTCTTTCATGTTTCATTATTGTAACAATGCTAGTGGTCCTAAAACACTGTCACTTGTTTTGAATGAAGTTATAAACCAGAGGTACCCAAACATTTTACTATGAAGGGTCAAAAGATTAAAGGCTGTGGGCTGAAAGTAAATTCCCCGTTATATCCATTTATATCATACTAAAATATAAAATGTATCATTTTTGTAATATCAAATTCACTTATATTTTCTACATTCCAATGCAAAAGGTAGATAGAGAATACATAAAAATAAACAAATAAAGACATAAATCCCAAAACGATTAATTAGACATGAAGAAATGCTTCATTGGGATGTTTCTCCAATGGCAAAGGTCATCAAGTGTCACCTTTGGTCTGCTGGTCCTGGTTTGGGCACCTCTGTTACAAACAGTTTCATTCAGTCAGTGGTGGTGACAGCATGGTCTCTCTGTGTTTTAGCATGTCTGTTTTAGCAAGCAGAGGTGCGGTGTTATAATCTGCCGGTACTCTACAGTATATGACCCAAATGAGAAGGTAAGTCTGATTATAAGAGATTTTTCACTTTTCTTAACTTGTGCATTCTTGTTTCCTTTCCTACATCTTAGTGCATGAACACTGTACTGTGGTTCTATGCAATTGTTGTCTGTCAGACTGTATGATAGGATCCCAGTGAGATCTTGGGTAAGAAAAAAAAACATAGCACTTTGTGCGGTTTCAACTGTCTTTTATGTCAGTTGACATGTCCTTTGTGATGAATGAGGAAACCGTTGATTTCTATACATAGATGGCATATTAGCGGTGATTAAAGCTCTGTGAACACTCCAGAGCCACTTGACTGCATCTGCAACCTAAATGTACACTATTGGTTAAAATATTTTTGCAATGTTTTTAAATAAAGTCTCATTTGCGCACTATAGCTGCATTTATTTGATCAAAACTACAATAAAAACAGTAATATTGTGAAATATTATTTCATTTTCTACAGCCATTACTCCAGTATTGTGTCACATGATGCTTCAAAATCATTCTAGTACACCGATTTTTTTTCTTTTTTGCATATCATTGCTCTTTTGTTGATTTTGATTGCTTCCGTTGTCCTCATTTGTAAGTCGCTTTGGATAAAAGCGTCTGCTAAATGACTAAATGTAAATGATTTGCTGTTTACGAAACATTTCTTTTTATTTATAAGTGTTGAAAAAACAGTTTTCGAAAGTCTGGGGTCAGTAAGATAAAAAAAAAAAAATGAATACTTTTCCCCCAGCCAGCAAGAATGCACTAAATTCTAATCAGAAATTGTAAAATTATATTTTAAATAAATTCTGTTCTTTTGAATTTTCTGTTTATTAAAGGATCAGGAAAAAATGTATCGGTCTCCACAAAAATGTTGAGTAGCAAAAACAGTTTTCAACATTGATAACAAGAACCATTATTAATAATTGAGCGCTGACACCAAAGATTTCTGAGGGATCACATGACACTGAAGAATGGAGCAATGGCTGCTGAAAATTCAGGAACTGTAATAAATGACATCTTAACATATATTCACACTGAAAACAGTAATAATATTTCACAATATTACTGTATTTTTTGATCATATAAATACAGCCTTGGTCAGCAGAAGAAACTTCTTTCAAAAACTTAAATTATTTTGACTGGTGGTGTATAAATCTTTATGTCAACAGTAATCTTTACAAGCTGATTTAGTTTATCATTAGTGTTCGATATTTCTACACAATTGTTGCCCATTAGAAAACCCTATCATATATATCTATGCTTCCTGCAACCATAGGCTGCAAACTGTTGCAGCATTTCCAATAAAAATGAATGGTTTGGTTAGTGAGAGTGATGAGTAATCAAGATGATGGACATGTTGACGTGTCTGGAGCAGTAGAATGAGGTATCTACATATAGATATCCATAGAGGAAACAAGGAAGCCTCAGTTATTTTGACACACACCCCGTATATCAAGGTCAAGATTCTCTTTGCATACTCTCTCAGCCTTTACACTCCCAAAAGCCTGTTGCATTTATGTAGCTTTGATGTTTCATTCTCCCACAATCAGCCTTTGCCTGGAGGTTTGTGTGTTGTGAGATTTGGGGTGTAGCAATATGAGCAAATGGGGAAATATGCTTTGAGTTTAGGAATGTGTTCTTGCGTACACATGGCCCTAGGCTCATCTTGACACATGGTTTATAGGCAGACACTTCCTTCAGTTTTTCCATAAATTGTTTACACGTGGCAGACAACATTAGCAAAGCCTCATGCTTTGATCTTTAAGGCACACTAACATCCACCTTAACAGTCATCTAGATCTCCCTCGTTTTATGTTTTTGTGTATGTCTATAGCACTTCATGGAATATATAACAGTAGTTTAGTATATAAGTGGTTTTTGTAACTGTTGTACCTGATACAGTTTAATTGTGATCATCCAGTTTTATATTCAGTTCTGCACTTAGAACTTGATCTTAAAGGTCTTTCCATCTAAAAAGCAGTGTGTGTTGAACAGCTTTCACTTACAGCTAAATGAGTTGAGCTTTAGTCAGTGTTAGAGACACACACTGTGCACAAATCAAATGTGTTGACAAAACAAATGTCTTAATCGCCCTGTTCCCTTTTCCTTTCCACAGACCTTTGATAAAATCCTCATTGCAAACAGAGGCGAGATCGCCTGCAGGGTGAGTGAGTGTGTGTGTGTGTGTGTGTGTTATTCACCAGGAACGTTCCTTTCAGTGTGTTTAAGGCAAAACATTAGATTTGTCTTAAGGCCATTTTCATTTTAAATCAGGGTGAAGTCCTAGATGTATGATCTTTACATGAAGTTCCATAATATCTTTTACCTTCAGAACATTTTTACTACTATGAAATGAAAAACGTTCATATTAATTCTTTGTTTCCATTCATAGGTGATTAAAACATGTAAGAAGATGGGCATCAAGACAGTCGCAGTTCACAGTGATGTGGACTCCAGTGCGGTGAGAGAAATGAATATTCAGATGTACCCTAAAAAAGGACAAAAACATTGAGGTTCAAAAGTCTGAAAGCACATTGATTCAAAGACTTATGACGTTGCTAAAAAGAACATTATTTTGTGTATTTGGTGTAATGAAATGTGTTTATGCGGTTTAAGGTTAAAAACACATTATTTTCCACATACTGTACATTATTGTTTCTCCTCTATGCCCCGCCTTTCTGAAACGTGTCGATTTTTACAAAGCTCATCGTTCTGAAAAGCGAGGTGTGCTCTGATTGGCCAGCTATCCAGTGCGTTGTGATTAGCCGAATACCTCAAGCGTGTGACGGAAATGTTACGCCCCTTACCATACTGTGATGCCGTGTCCCAGCAGGACGAGACTCGGTCCAACTGCTCTGCTCGTGCACATCCCATCATCGGTTATCTTTTAGCAGTTCAGTCAATGTACTGTTAGGAGTAACTGAATAACTTGGGATATTGTTTTATTTAGCGTCAGAGGGAGTGTCAGGCACGGTTATAAACTGAATAACTTAAGTAATTTGTGGATTAGTGCGTACTGGAGACGCAAACCGTTTCAAACGATTCGGTTCGATTTGGTGAACTGGTTCGACCGGTACTCTAAGAAGATCCGGTTAAATAGAACGATTCTTTCGCGATCCGGACATCACTAGACGAGACAAAACCAATAAAACCCATTACAAACGAGGGATTTGTTGCATCCAGTGGGGACATAATTACTGATTATAATGACTTATACTGTCTTTTTACCCATTGCGTTGCATCGCGCCGTGTAAACATAAAACCATGTCTGCATTTGTGATCGGAGAAATTACAAACTACAAGCGCTACTCTACACTGCTTAAAACTCACATTTGAATAATCATTGGCAAATTATTTAAATATAAATTAACCACTGATTTCTAGTCGTGTCCTCTTTTGGAAGGCCAAACAAAGTAGTTTCGCTTTCACAACGAAACACACAGCGACTCCACAACATGGCAGTGGCGGCAACAGCGAGAATAAAAGTTACGCCTTCTTTTATTTGTGCGGCGTTATGCAAATCTTCCCACACAGTGACGTAGACAAGTGGGGGCGTGTTAGAACAAGTCGTTTTAGGTAGGCGTGGTTGACTCTTAACTTTTATAAAGAATATCTCTGGATTTGAGACTTTAGTCTTTGCAACTTTACAGATCTTCTTTATGCACCAAGAGCTTGTAACACTCCAAAGAGAAAGGAAAACTTGAAATCGCATCATATGACCCCTTTAAAGCCGAAAATCATTCTCTTGTTAATTGTCACTAATTAAGACTCACTCGTATTTTGCTGAAAGGTAAAGTACCGCCATCATGTGATTTCAGTGGGACTATTCTATTCAGCAGATTTTACTGGACAGCCTTGCTTTTCATATCACTATGCCTTTAAAATCGACACGTACTGCGCATGTCTACATACCTAACATGTACTATGCACGCGCATGACGTCACCGTTTTCAAAGATTCCCGTATTGGGTGTTTACATGGAAACGATAACAGTGGCGTTTTCAAAAAAGTGCACTTTGAAACCCGTTTTCAAAAATATGAGTTTTCAGTCCCCAAAACGCCGTTGTCGTGTAAACGAACAGGCAAAACACATAAAAAGTTCCCCGTTTTTGGCTGAAAACGTTGTTGTGTTAACGGCCCCTTAAGTGTTACATTCTTTGATCCTTTCTCCCCAGGAAGCAGTTTAGAATTTCAGCCATAAGAGTTTATTCATTGAATGTCATTGTTTTATACTATTCTGTTCTTATAATAAAATTAGCCTTTGGTGCTGGAATGGCATAAAAATAAAAAGCAAAAGTTTTTGACATTTCAAACATTTTCAAACATATATGTATGTGTGTGTGTTTACTGTATACAGTATATGTATATATAAAATATATACACATACCCTCATGTTGTTTCATAGCTGTATGACCTATATGTTTTGAAGAATGCTGGTAAACAAAAAATTGGTTACCATTTATCTTTCATAGAGGAAAAAAAAGTTCAAACAGGTTTGGAATTTCATGGAAGTGTTAACAGAATTTTCAATTTTGGGTGAACTATTACATTTTCATTTGAACTTGTTATGCTGTTAATATCATTTAATTAAACTTCTTGTATTAAATTAGAAAAATGCAAACTAGAAACATCTTAATTTATTTTGGCCCCACTGTATATTTTGTTCATTAAAAACTTCCACATATCAAAGAAGAGATTACTAATACAACAGCTCGTATATGCTGTACATGAAGACTTTGAAGCATTTGAAATGAGTAAATAGATTGGCTGAAGCAGGTTAGTCATCTGGAGGCAGTCTAGTACTAATATCTAAATTAGACCCCAGTACACTTTTACAAGCATTGCAAGATAAACCAAAGCTTTTACTCCTCTCGCCTTTATCTTTCCATGGAGTGTAATCCTCTGTTGCCATGATTGATAGCTGTCAGTTTTCACCCCCTCCTATTCCATATGCATGAGAGTTTGATAGAGGCAGTGTTTTAAACTCAGCTCGTCCCCCTGCTGTGTTCTGTGCTGGATTGTGGGGGGGTGGGGGGTCTTTTGCATTTGATTTGCAGCTTCCAAAGAGCATCTAAATGAAGATGTTTAAACAGAGCAGTGGGGGATAATCTGGACTCTGTGTGGGGGAACAAATTGACATTAGAAGTCCATATACTGACCCCAGGATTGATGTGTTGAAATATTTCACAAACACATTCCTAATGCAGAATCTTTCTTTCAACTCGACTTTTATATTGTCTAATGTCATTTTCTGAAACATCATGAAAGATAAATGAATTTAATTAGTCATTTAGTGTTTACATTAAAGTGTTCCATTAAAAAGCAAACAGGACCCACAGGCTGTCTCATATCCTCTCTAGTTAACAGGGTCGGTGCTGACAGAAAAATAAGTTTATTAGGCTCCTGAAACAAATGGCGTGGAGCTATCAAGTTTTGTGCTGCATTAAAAGGCTCAGACAGAATACTCATTAAACTCCGTGTCAGTGAAAACACATCTAGAGATTTGTCTGTGTGATTCGAAACCAAGTAGTGTTTATTTTAATTCATTTGATTTGATTTTAAGAAATTGTTTTGGTAAACAAAAAGAATTTATAGTCCGTTAAAAATGTCCAGTTAAATAATCACTTCTTCAGTAAGATGATCCTTAAAGTTAGAGGTTGCTGTATTTGTCTGCTTCAGTCTTCTGGGCTCATTTGAGTGTCTTGCAAACTCCTCCACCTCTGTTTGCGTCACCCTCGTTAAATGTGAGGGAAAACGACTTTGTCTCCCTTTTTACACACGTGTGGAAAACATTAGCAGAGAAGCAGCAGTTGGCTAGCGAGTCTTCTCCAAGCCTCCCCTGTTGATGCAGTTGTCAGTATTAATGCTTTCCCATTGTGAGGTCGGTCACTCCGTCAGCTCAGTGGCTTCACACCGTGTGTGACGACATCTTGGCCACGCAGACAACTGACTGGCATTTACAACTGTGAAAATAAGTGTTTAAAGGGGTCATATGATTTCAATTTTTCCTTTCTCTTTGGAGTGGTACAAGCTCTTGGTACATAAAGAAGATCTGTAAAGTTGCAAAGACTAAAGTCTCAAATCCAAAGAGATATTCTTTATAAAAGTTAAGAGTCAACCACGCCTACCTAAAACGGCTCGTTCTAACACGCCCCCACATATCTACGTCGCTCTGTGGGAAGATTTGCATAACGCCGCCCAAATGTTCACGCAAAGAAAGAAGGCGTAACTTTTATTCTCGCTGTAGCTTTGTTGCTGCCGCCATGTCGTGAAGGCACTGTGTGATTCGTTGTGAAACCGAAACTACTTTGTTTGGTCTTCCAAAAGAGGACGATATCCACTTCGTCATGCCTGGAGCTGATCCGTGCTGGTCGCTGAGGAAATACATCAACTTCGCGCTGTGGTTTGCTGGATCGGCTTTCACTGTGGACGAAGTGGAGTCCAGCCCGGGGTCGTCATGTGGTTGCCGCAATCCCGCCGGCCGCTCCTTCGTCGAATCCGCCGGCCGCACCGTTCTCAAGCCCGCCGGCTGCCACCGCTCACTCTAGCCCGCCATGTGTGACGCTGTGGGTTTCGTTGTGAAAGCGAAACTACTTTGTTTGGCCTTCCAAAAGAGGACACTACTAGAAATCAGTGGTTAAGTTGTATTTACAACTCATGTGTCCAGCGCATTTTATGGAGGACTGTTTCCTGATCCTGGTAGAGTAGACTACAATGCCGGCTGTTCTGACTCACAGACTGCAAGTATGTTTTCATATTTAAAGAATTTGCCACTGATGATTCAAACGTGAGTTTTGAGCAGTGTAGAGTAGCGCTTGTTGTTTGTCATTTATCTGATCACTAATGCAGACATGGTTTTATGTTTACGCAGCACGATGCAACGCAATGCGTAACAAGACAGTATAAGTCATTATAATCTGTAATTATGTCCCCACTGGATGCAACAAATGCCTTGTTTATAATGGGTTTTTAATGTTTTTGTGTCGTCGCTCCGGCTGGGAGACGGCATCACAGTATGGTAAGGGGCGTAACATTTCCGTCACACGCTTGAGGTATTCGGCCAATCACAACGCACTGGATAGCTGGCCAATCAGAGCACACCTCACTTTTCAGACCGAAGAGCTTTGTAGAAATCGAGGCATTTCAGAAAGGCGGGGCATAGAGGACAAACAATAATGTACAGTATGTGGAAAATAATGTTTTTTTTTACCTTAAACCACATAAACACATTTTATTACACCAAATACACAAAATTATGTTCTTTTTAGCAACGTCATATAACCCCTTTAAAATGCAGAGTATTGGGTTAAAAAGTACAATCATTACAACTCACTGAAAATCAGACTAAAACTAGAACACAAAACTTTTTTTTGTCCTCCATAAACTGTTATTAGCAGTATCGTATTTTATAAGCATTAAAAACAAACAAACAAAAAAAAAACATTTTAAATGCATCTGTGTAAAAGTACTTTTTTGGTTGCTTTGCTGAAGGTCAAACCATAAAGCCTGGCACTAGAAACACCAAGATCATGGGATCGATTTCCAGCAAACTAAATGTTAATGACATGAAAACAATGTATGCCTTCTAGGCAGTGTAAGTTTTAGTGGTTAAAAGTATTTGCCAAATGCATTAATTTAATGCCCTTAGAGGGTAGTTAAAGAAACTTGCTTAACAAAATACATATAAATATTTCAGGTCTGTTCAGCTGCCATTAATAATGAAATAAGTGGGTCAAATGAACCTTTAAACATCATAATATAATATGTTTTTAGAAATTAAGCACATAATGCGTCAAACAAATGTTTTTTTTCTTCCTTTATCAACAGTAACCAATAGGTCTGAGAGGAAATCTGCAAATTCTTTTAGGAAATCTGTATACGGCCCTGGTGGTCTATACACAGTAGCCAGAGCAAGAGCTACGATAGATTTCTTTTGCATATCTGACAGTGTAACATTAAGCATTAGTATTTCGAATGAGTTAAACCTGTATCCTGTCTTCTGAGTAACATTGAGAATATCACTATATATTGTTGCAACACCGCCACCACGACCAGTCTGACGGGGCTCATGCTTATAATAGTAGCTTGGTGGAGTAGACTCATTTAGACCAATATAATCATTAGGTTTTAGCCAGGTTTCAGTCAAGCAGAGTACATCAAAACGATTATCTGTGATCATTTCATTTACAATAACTGCTTTGGGTGAGAGTGATCTAATGTTCACCCCAGTCTGTGCAGTTTCCATTAATAATGAAAAAAGCAGGTCAAATTGACCCTCAAAGATCACAATTTAAATAAGTTTGTACACACATGCCACAACACATCAGAGTGTCGACAAATTGCAGAAATGAAAGTCACAAAATGTAAAAAAAAAAAGTAAATAAATCATAAGTAAACCAGTTTTTTCCCGACAGTTAAAAAAACGAAACGTTTTTTTTAAAAATAAGGATTTCAACAATTTTCCTGTGTGTTTTTTCATTCCCTCAGGTTCACGTGAAGGTGGCTGATGAGGCTGTGTGTGTTGGCCCTGCCCCTACAAGTAAAAGTTATCTGAACATGGATGCTATCATGAACGCCATCAAGCAGACTGGAGCTCAAGCTGTGAGTGTGTGTGTGTGTGTGTAAGGTAAAACACAGGGGACTTAAGAACAGTTGAAGCCTAATCCATGTTGGTGTAAACAGGGTCATATGTTATTAACATGGTGCCCTGGACAGTGTTATTATCTATAAACTGAGTTGATGCAATGAAGCTGTTAGATGTCGCCTGTATTATTCTGTAGATGCATGTAGGTAAATATTTTTTTCTTTCTCTCTCTTATAGGTTCATCCTGGCTATGGATTCCTGTCTGAAAATAAGGAGTTTGCCAAGAGACTGGTGAGTTTGCCTTTTCCCTGAAAGAAAAAGAAATGTGGATAGTTAAAGAAAAGAAATATTTAAATGAGTTTGTGTTAGAGTTGGGGGCAGAATAGCCCCTTCACTTATTGTTCTACATTGGCCAGTGTCCCTCCCTCCCACACACACACACACACACACTCACACACACACAGTTTTTGTAATTAACAGCTCGGACCCCCCAGTAGTAATTTAATTAAAGGTGTGAGTTCTAAGGTGAGAAGATTATTTGCAACCCAAATGAAGGCAGAAAGGCCAAAAGGGTCATTTGATAAAGAGACTCATTCCACAATCACATTCGTTCTTTTTTTTTTTTTGAAGGACAGTGCTGTATTTCTTAGAATTTAACCAGTTGTATAAGTCCATTTATGTGATATTGACTGAACTTACATTACCATTCAATAGTTTGTGGTCATAAGATTTTTTAAATGTCTCTAAAAGACATCTCCTCAGCTTACCAAGGCTGCATTTATTTGTGAAATATTACTATAATTTAAGATAACTCTTTTCTATTTGATTATATGTTAAAATGTATTTCATTCCTGTGATGCAAAGCGTAGTTTTCAGCAGTCACTCCAGTGATCCTTCAGAAATCATTTTAATATGCTGATTTGCTGCTCAACAAAAAAATGCTTATTGATATCATTTGTAATATCAGTATTTTTTGTAGAAACCAAGATACATTTTTCCATTTTATATTAATACATGATTATTTGATGAGTAGAAAGTTCAAAAGAGTATTTGAAATAAATCTTTTGTAACATTATAAATGTCTTTACTGTCACTTTTGAGCAGTTTAATGCATGCTTTCGGAGTAAAGGTATTTCTTCACAAAAAAAAATAGAACTGATCCCAAGACTTTGAATGTAGTGTAGGTGGTTGATATTCAATGATCCTAAAGAAATAGCTCACCCAAAAATGACCTGATAATTGTTTCCCTATAGAATAACTTTAATGGGGACTGGAGTGTTCAGGCTTCTAAAAGGACACAAAATGCACCATGAAAGTGTTCTACACAAACTTATAACAGCTTTCTACCAATCTTCTGAATTAAAACACAAATAACATTTAGACTGTGTTTCTGATTAAATAAAGCAGTAATTGATGTCATAAAATCGTGAGTATGTTTTGATTTAAAGGTCAGAAGCTATAGTTTACATGAAAAAAATAAAATCACAAACATGACACTTGTAAATTAAATAATTTAATATATACTGATTTATTCATGAATGTGTAATATGTTATATATTTTAAAACAAATTATGAGCCCTAAAAGATTTTTAGAATTTTTACTACTATTTGGCTTTAGACCATCTACAAATGTTAAATCCTAAAATAAAATGTTAAGGTTACTACTGCATCTTTCTAAAAAAAAAATGCAGCGATTTATTTATAGTTAAAAGAACTTAATTATTGTTTTTTTTAATTCTAACAAATAAGTTCTTGTTAAAAACTAACCAAAATTAAAAATAATTTCCTTATAATTTCCACATAGGAGAGACTTGGTGTTGTTTCCAAGCAAAAGGATATATATCGGTATCGGCTATCAGCCAAAATGAGTTGGAAAAATATCGGTATATGATCGGATATCGGCAAAAATCCAATATCGTGCATCCCTAATTAATGCAATAGCTTTGTTTGAGGAACAGACCAAATTGTTTATTAATATTCTTCCCCTCCAGAGAAATGTTAGGTGCTAAGAGTCAAATCTGATTTTGTCAGTTCTAATTCAGACTGGTTTTGTGAACCAAATCAACTGATTCATTAAAAAAATGCTTGACTCTAAAAGTCAGATTCGTTCAAGAATTGGCCATTGCTAAGTCTCGTAAACCCTCATGGAAAGCTAGGGTAGATATGGACAATTTCGGAGGGTTTCTTATTAAAAATAAATAAGCATAAATAATGCTATAAACTACTACTCCTTTTTTTGTTGTTAAAAGAACATACAGAATATTATTCAAAAATTGTTTATTATGTTTTCCATGGAAGAAAGTAATATAGTTTTAAAACAACGTTAAATTAACAAATGTTTAATAAAATTAAATTTTTTTGGGTGAACTATCCCTTTAACCGCTGTGCCCCAAAATAATTAAGCCAAGCTCTCCAGTACTGACAAATGCATGTGCCAACCTCCAACTGTGCCTCAGTGTTGCCATGGCAACTAAACTCAGCAGCTACCATCTTTTTTTAACCCTTCAATCGATTCTGACTAAATAAGGACATGCTTCGTGTCACGGCAGGCCTCAAACACACACAGAGAGTTCGCATGGGGCCGTCACTCTCTTTTTTTGATCTAGATATTTTCGCTTTTTTTAGGATTCCAGATTTCTTCTGCAAGATATCTTCTTTTTGCTTGGTTTGCTGCATTGTAGAACAGAGAAAAGATGAACAAACAGAGAATAGAGATGAGGGAAGACAACATGCCTCTCTTTCTGTCTCTTCTTTCCTTGTTACTTTTGTCCACAATAGTCAATCATGGTTATTTATTGTACAATATACACATCTCTGGTGCGTGTATCATGCGTTACGTGTCTTACTCTCTTTAGTGTAGTACGACGTGAGGCTCTCCTGGCAGCTGCGCTGATGTGCTCGCTAGATCTCCTTTGATATAAATCACATTCAGGCAGGAGGGAAACACACATGGGGTGTTGTCACAGCAACGGCGGGCTCACGTTGATAGGTTGCCTAGAAGTAGTTTTAGATCAAATTTTCAGCTAAAAATCTAAAATAAATGAGCTTTTTTGGTGCAGTTTTGAAGGCTTTCGGTATAACATCATACTGGTAATCAACAGAGCCTGTTAAAAATTAATCAGCAGGTCAAAATAAGTGTTAAATATTAAGCAGTCAGGGACCGGAATCAGCTCCGCTGAACCCAGATTTATTTATTGTTTAATGTCTCTTTAAGGTTGTCGACTGCATTGATGTAAAGGACACATTTTGATTTGACTGTTATCCTGCAGTGAATAAGTCACAAACTACTGTTTTTCTGACTTTTTTTCTGACTGTTCTACATCGTCATTATGAGGAAAATCTGCCTAGCAACTAATGAATAGAAGCTGTTTTTTTTAGAGGAATTTTGCTGCATTTTTGTTTGTAACTCAGTCATTAGAATTACATGAGTAGGCTGTGCATATACTCCAGAAAATGCTTATTTCATGTGACCCCTTTAGTTTAGTTAACTTTTGTGTTTCTGTTTTAATTTTTTGTTTTATTTATTTCTATTCTGTTATGTTTAGTGGCTTTTTATGGGTTTTTTGTTTGTTTGTTTGTGTTGTGGTGTTTTGTTTTGTTTTAATTAATTTATTATTTTGTCATGTTGGGAGGATTTGTTTGTGTTTTTTTGTTATTTTGTTTCAAAGTTCTTCTTTTTTTTGTTCGGTTTTGTTTAGTTTACTGTTTTTTTGTGTGTTTTTTTAAAATAATTTTTTGTCATTTTGTTTTGAAGTTGTTTTTGTTTTTTTTATTTTATTTAATGTTTTTTTTTTGTGTGTGTTTTTGTTTTGGGGTTTTGGAGCTATGCATCTACTCCAGAAAATGCTTTACAACTCATGTTTATTGATGTGATATGTGATGTTATAGCAAAACTCTACTATAAATGGAAATATACTTAAAGTTGAAGTGTGGAATTTCTGCATCACTAAGGGCACCAACCAATCCTTTGCTAAGTGTTGCATGGGCTGGAATGGACTGTGACTTTGCAGAATGTATGTATTATTTTTCTTCAAAACAGTTTTTAAATTAGGCAGATTTGAGGTTAATACTTCGCACAGCCAACCAAGGAGAAAAAAAGAATTTGGCTACGTCCAAATATGCATACTTTCCTACTATATAATAAACAAACAACAGTATATGAAAAGAGTAGCCTAGTATTCATAAAACATAAGGCCAATAGCACCCAGTGACCTACTTATTTCTTATGAAGTGCGGATCCAGTGAATATAGTTGTAAATGGCAACTGATGCTGTAGGTCGCATGACAATGACACATGACGAATGTAGTATTGCCAGATTACATTCATACGACATACTTATATACTATCGAATGCATTTTTTTAACAGTCAAGAAGTACTTATTCAAAAGAGGTAGATCCTATCTACTCCCTTACTTGACGGCTGATAACAGTAGTATAATGAACTAAATTGTTTATAGTGTTTTTAAAGGGGTCATATGACGTTGCTAAAAAGAACACTATTTTGTTTATTTGGTGTAATGCAATTAATGCAATTTTCACTTTATTTTCTATTTCAATTTGACTGTCCATAACAGCATTGTCTTGACCAGTTTTGTGAGTTTGTAGGTTGAATACCTGTTTAACTTGAATAATGGCCAACCCAGGCTAATTGGAAATGCGTGCCTCTAAATGCATTTCTGCAACACCATTATTACGTTCCTTACTGCACGTTTCAAGGCAGCTTCAAAGTGAAATGTCCAGTGAGTTGAGCTAAAACGCAGGTTCAAGACGTGACCCTGGCACATTTTTGTTACGTTGGTACAGGCACATATTGCTGTGTTTTTATTACATTGATTCCGATACGGTGCGGTGGTTCATAATTCAAATTTCCCAGGAGTGTCTCTAAAAGTTAATGCTCTATCGTGTTGGAAATATCCCCTACACCAAACCCAACCATAAACCTACCTGATAGCATTAACAAATGCAAAACTTGTATAAAAACGGCTTTGTTGATGCAACCGTGCAATTTGAACTTTCTTATATGTAGGTTTGAACTGTTTTGTGGAACCGTAGTTTCACGGGATTCGTACCCGAGCTCTTCACCTCTCAAGTCGAACTCCATACTGCGTGAGCTATACCGAACAAACCTAATTAATATGAAGCTGGATATGTGACGCTAACGTTCAAAAGTATCAGTTTTCAAATGTTGCAGCATGTTAAAATTATTTTGAATTCATAACATGATATTCCTCAGGTAGCTGTGAGAAAATTAGGCTTTATTAATCGAAACTGTGGACCTTCAAATCATACTTTGTGTGAAAAGGAATAAAAGTTGTCAATTTTATTGCCTCTAGTGTTTATTTCAACTGGAAACTGCAGCGATTTGTGTGTGTATAGGTATGTTTTTTCAGTTTTGCAGAAATTTATTTAGAGGCACGTATTTCCAGTGAGCCTATGTTGATAATGGCAGATGGTGGAGGTGTAAAACTAGTCTGAAAAAGTTGAGTCATTTGTTGTGGTTCTGTTTGCTGTTAGTGACACAGAAATTGCACACTTCACCTTTAAATATGATTCAATTTTGAAACAATGTAGCATTAATACATTTTTAGCTAATAATACTACTTTCATCTCTTTTAAACATATTTTGCTGTAATTAATCCCCCTAAAATTTTACCGTGATCAAATCCCACTTAATTTCCTCCTAAATCAGTCCAGAAAAAAGTGCAAAAATCATTCAGATTGTGTGTGGGCTTACAAACAAGACAGAAGTGCCATAGAAATGCATTGCTTACAGAAAATAGTAAATGCAATGATTCACACACTTACAGAAAGTGTACAAGCAACTAATTTAAACCATATGTCCACCTCATGTTAAGTATTAAGCTATTATAGTTTTTGTTTTAATTGCTTTTGATCATTTGTTTTATTTTTTCCAGACATTTTTGTCCCGCTTAGCCTATACTTAATTGCTTTGGATAAAAGTGTCTGCTTTATGAATAAATATAAATAGTTTGGTTTATAACATCTGTACCTGCTCAATTCTCTCTACCTTTCCATCCCCCAGTCACTCTTTTACATTCCCCTATACGCATGCGTGCACACACACACACGCGCAGATGTGTGGGCCATCCACTGCCTTCTGTGTGTGGAAATGAAGATGTCATTACATTAGCAGTTGAATAGCAATACCCCCCACATGAATAAGAGGTGAATGAGCCCCCCATCCTGAATAGCTGCCCCCTCTGCCCAACTGTTAGTACAGTTTTACGCAGCGCAAACGATTGGCCAGAGCCCCTGGGCATGCGCAAGTTCAGCCTAGAGCGCTCTGTTAGGATTACCTCTACAGCCTCTTTAGCATGTTAAAAGAGAAGCGCTTTTCAATAGCAGAGAGGAGATTGAGTTTGAGTGGAGTGTGCGTGTGTGTGTTTTCATGCCTTTTCACTCTTTGGATGTTGTCTTGAACAAGATGTTTTCATTATCCTAGTGTTCCCCCGCTCACATGCACAGTTGTACACAAGTTCTTGACACTTCTAGAAGCTCAGACTCTTTTTACTGTTGTTGTAGCAGCTTGCTGGTTGTCTATCGCTTTGAATGTCCCTCATGTGCATTTGTGCATGTGGTACTTATAAAAATGAACAGGAGGAGGAGAGAGATTGAGTGGCATCTGAATAGGCCCAAGCGTTTTATTGGATTTGATTTTCCAGAACTCTGCAGAGACACTGACAGGGGTTTGAGGGAAAGGTCTCTAGCGTGACTGGGGCCACCATAATTTGTCAGTGTATTTAAACCATGATATTGTGTCCCATTTATGTATTTTATTTCATGTGACCCCTTTAGTTTAGTTAGCTTTTGTGTTTTTAGTTTTTCATTAGTTTTTTTTTGTGTGTATTTTGTTTTGTATTGGAGTTCTTTTTGCTTTTTATTTATTTCTATTCTGTTTTGTTTAGTTGTGTAGTAGTTTTTTGTTATTTTGTTTCAAAGTTCTTTTTGTTTTATTTTGTGTTTGTTTGTTTTGGAGTTATTTTTTATTTTGTTCTTTTTTGTTTAGCTGACTGGTATTTGTTTTCTTTTATGCTTTTTTGGTTTGTTTTTTGGCATTTTGTTTTGAAGTTGTTTTGCTTTTTTTGGTTTGTTTGGTGTTTTTGTGCCGTTTTTTTGTTTGTTTTGTTTTTGTTCTGGAGTTCTTTTCTTTGAGATATTAAAAGGTTGTTTGTTGCTGGACTCTTTTGCCACATTTGTCTCAATCAAGCAAATACATTATTTTATATGACATATTATCATATTTGGCAACAAACAGGTGAGAATTTGTTGGGCTTGCAAACTTCTGATTCAGTGAAAAATATACTCCCATATAGTATTTGTCCACTTTAGTTTTAGTGATTTGTAATTGACTTTAATTGATTACAGAAGCTGATTTTGTTGACACCTTAGTTTGTTTCTTTTCCCAAGCACTTGTCAAGAACAAACAGATCACTTTTTTGGCCTCATTTAGATTTATCCTTTATCTCATGACACCATGGGTCCAGTTGGAGCTGAAAGAGTCGTGGGGTCAAATCCCTCTTTTAATTACAGAGCTCCGTGGGTTCTGCGCGCCTCAGGCATACTATCTGTAGTATATTAGCCAGGAAGCAATAGCCTCCCGATTCTCGAGACTAACAAAGAAAAGAACAGATCTCCTTTTTCCCATTCTTTTTTCTGGCTTCGTTATTTAGATGTATGTTTCTGCAGGCATTACCTGAAGCTACCTTTCTTTACTTCACCCAAGTTCATACCCCGGGGGTCTTTTTTTTGTGTGAAGGGATTTGATTCACCTGGCAACAAATGTTTTGGTCGTTTACCTCTTTGAGGATGAGAGATTTAGATTTTCAAAATGCTGTGCATGGCCAGTGCTTATAGTAAATATGTTTTATATAGGTATGTTTAAAAAAAAAAGTCAAATGAGTTTACATGTATCTGCAGACATAATAATATATAGAGATAATTTATACATAAATTTACAGATTTACACATAAATTAGATTTATATTTGTCTACAACGCTAATTTTGAGTATTTCTTCATAAATCTTTGTATTTACACTACTGTTCAAGTTTGGGGTCAAAAGTTTATTTAATTAATTTTTGCTCTCCAGGGCTATATTTATTTGATCAAAAATACAGTAAAAACAGTAATAATGTAAAATATTATTACCATTTAAACTATATTATGTTTTCTGTGTGAATATATTGTAAAATGTAATTTATTCCTGTTATGCAAAGCTGAATTTTCAGCAGCCATTACTCCAGTCAGTGTCACATGATCCTTCAGAAATCATTCTGACATAATGATTTGCAGCTCAAGAAGCATTTATTTTAATTATCAATGTTGAAAACAGTTCTGCTACTTCATATTTTTGTGGAAACTGAGATATACAGTCCAAAAGAACAGCATTTATTTGAAATGTAAATCGTCTGTAACGTTATAAATGTCTTTACTCTCACATTTGATCAATATAATGCATATAATTGCTGAATGAAAGTATTAATTTCTTTTAATAATAATAATAATAAATCTTACTGACCTCAAACCTTTGAACGGTACTGTATGTTCTTTAAGATCATAAGAAACATACATCAGTCATGTGTGTCCAAACGTTTGACTGGTGCTGTGAACAAAAGTGGAGTCAGGTCATGATTATACGCAGCAGTTTATCATGACCAGAAGAGTACAGCTGGATCACGTAATGTTGAGGTTTGATGTGGGAATAAAACCTGTGGGTGTGCATTATGATGTACGATCAGATTATCTCTGAGTCATGCGAGTCGTTCAGCGTGACGTGACATTTTCTGATGGTTGTCTTAATAGATTTAATGCCTGTAGTCATGATTTGTAGGTAAGATCTGCTCAGAATAAATAACTTCGATGACATAAAATATGCCTTATTATGAATTCCTTCTCTACAGGCGGCCGAGGGGGTGACCTTCATTGGTCCTGACACGCATGCCATCCAGGCCATGGGGGATAAGATCGAGAGCAAACTCATCGCCAAAGCTGCCAAAGTCAACACCATCCCAGGATTTGATGGGGTGGTCAAGGTCAGATCAACGTTTGGGATGTTTTATTTATTTTTTTATTTTTATTTTTGTCCTCAGTCTTTTCACATCCATTACTTCTCACATGCTGTTTATCTTAAAAAAAATTTCACAAACACTTTTTCTTTTGGCCAACTTCATGATGGGTGCTTTATCAAAACCATTTTCTATTACGCTTCTAGCTGAGCTAAACAAACAGCATCTTGATAAAACACAGAAATACAGTACATCACTTAAACTACTTCAGTCTGTGTGCATTGAATTTATTTAATACACGAGTTTCACAATTTGAGTTGAATTACTGAAATAAATGAACGTTTCCACAACATTCTAATTTATTGAGATGCACCTGTATGTGACCCTGGACCACAAAACCAGTAATATGGGTCAATTTCTTGAAATTGAGATTTATACATCATCTGAAAGCTGCATAAATAAGCTTTCATTGATGTATGGTTTGTTAGGATAGGACAATATTTGGGCGAGATACAACTATTTGAAAACCTGGAATCTGAGGGTGCAAAAAAATCTAAATATTGAGAAAATCGCCTTTAAAGTTGTCCAAATGAAGTTCTTAGCAATGCATATTACTAATCAAAAATGAAGTTTTGATATATTTACAGTAGGTAATTTACAAAATATCTTCATGGAACATGATCTTTACTTAATATTCTAATGATTTTTGGCATAAAAGAAAAATCAATAATTTTGACCCATACAGTGTATTGTTGGCTATTGCTACAAATATACCCCAGCGACTTAAGACTGGTTTTGTGCTCCAGGGTCACATATGTGGTGCAGATAATAATATACATATGTTATGTAGTATATAATGTGCAGTGCATGCTTTATACCATTCAAAAATTTGTGTTTGGTAAGATTTTTGTTAATGTTCTTGAAAGAAGTCTCTGCTGCTCACCAAAACTGTATTTATTCGATCAAAAATACAATAAAAACAGTTTGTGAAATATTATTACAATTTAAAACCACTGTTTTCTATGTGAATATATTATAAAATGTGATTTATTTCTGTGATGCAAAGCTGAATTTTCAGCAAACATTACTCCAGTCTTCAGAAATCATTCTGATATGCTAATTTGCTGCTCAAAAAACATTTCTCATTATCATCAGTGATAACAAAAACTATTAAGTAACATGATTATTTACATAAAATGCTTTCAAATGTGTAGTGTCACAGAGAATTCTGGGAATATCAGTTTGCAGTTTTTGACTGTAAATTGTATACTACCAGTCAAAAGTTTTTGAACAGTAAGATTTTAAAAGTTTTTTAAAGAAACATTGCTTCTGCTCACCGAGCCTGCATTTATTTGATCCAAAGTACAGCAAAATCAGTAATATTGTGGAAAAAAAATTGCTATTTAAAATAACTGCTTTCTATTTTAATATATTAAAATGTAATTTTTTCCTGTGATTTCAAAGCTGAATTTTTAGCATCATTACTCCAGTCTTCGGTGTCACATGATCCTTCAGAAATCAATTCAATGTTGATTTGCTGTTCAAGAAACATTATTATTATCATCATCAATATTTAAAACAGTGGAGTACAATTTTTTTTTCAGAAAGATCCAAAGATCACTTTTTTCTGAAATAAAAACCTTTTGTAACATTACACACTATACCATTCAAAAACTTGGAGTCAGTATAATTTTTTTTTATTTTTAAAGAAATTATTGAAATTAATACTTTTATTTAACAAGGATGCCTTAAATTGATCAAAAGTGATGATAAAGACATTTATAATGTTACAAAATATTTATCTTTCAGATAAATGCTGTTCTTAAAAACTTTCTATTCTTTAAAGAAATCCGAGTAAAAAAAAATTTACACAGCTGTTTTCAACAACAACAATAATAATAATAAATGATTTTTTGAGCAGCAAATCAGAATATTACAATGGTTTCTGATGGATCATGTGACTGGAATAATGATGCTGAAAATCAGCTTTGAAATCACAGAAATAAATTACATTTGAACATATATTCAAATAGAAAATATTTCAAAATGTTACTATTTTTGCTGTACTTTGGCTCAAATAAATTCAAATAAATTCAGGCTGGGTGAGCTTCTTTAAAAACATTAAAAATCTTACTGTTCAAAAACTTGACTGGTAGTGTACATTCATTTGTTCCTTTTTACTTCTAAAAACTGTACAATTAACAGCATTTTACTGTAAAATTACATGAAATCTACATGATCTTTTACAGTTTTTCCCTGTATATAGTACGGGAACTTAGTGTTAACCTATTAAGTTTTTTTTTTTTTTAACCTTTAGCATTTTTGCAATATTTTACTGTTAAAATTACACTCACTTTTTACAGTGTACAACAGATTTCTGTTTTAAATCAGTTTTGTTCTTTTGAACTTTCTTTTAATCAAATAATACTGAAGCAAATCAGAGTTTCTACAAATATATTAACTGTTTTCAATAACTAATTTAAGGATTTGAATTTAATAATAATAAATGTTACCCGAGCACCAGATCAGCACATTAGAATGATTTCTGAAGGATCATGTGACACTGAAGACTGGAGTAATGATGCTGAAAATTCAGCTTTGCATAACAGGAATAAATTAAATTTTTACTATATATTCACATAGAACAGTTATTTTAAATTACAATAATATTTAAAAAATATTACTGTTTTGTATTCAATTTATCATCAAATAAATGAAACCTTGGTGAGCAGAAGAGACTTCTTTCAAAAACCTTTCAAGTATCTTACTGACCCCAAACTTTTTCAACAGTAGTGTGTGTGTGTGTACATATACGTGCTTGGTTGCAAAGCTCTGAACTACAGTAAAGCTACATATCAGTCCTCTAAAGCGTCTTTAAACTCTCGTCTCTATTCGTTTTCTCCCTCCCCCTTCCATCCCCTCCTCCTGCATGCTGTTTAAAAGGCTTTTAATGGCCGTGTGTAGTGGCCGTTTTGACACTTCCTGAGCTGATAGGGCTCTATAAAGCAAAGATGTGCCGCATGACACTCTGATTGTATGGGCATTACCATCTGTGAACCTTCTCAACGACCCTGATAACATCAGCACACTGATCACAGTCTGACTCTCACACACACGCCAACATCTCTCCTTTAGTCCCTTCTGCTGCATTTCTCACCTTAGCTTAACTTCATTTAATGCTAGTGTAGAGCTCTGCTGTTAATGTATTTTGACATCTGGTGAGAAAGAACAAGATTAAATATGACCTATTGTCACTAAACTTGCAATCTGAAAGGAATCACAGCAGCAATTTGGGCTGGAAATTATTTTTACGTGCAAAAAACACACAACATAGTAATTGCCCATTGTTTTAGAGTAAATCTGGCAGTCTTCCAAGTATTTGATGTAATTAAAAGAAAAAGTTTGAAAAAAGTTTTTCACGAGAAAATGGAAAAACTTATGTCACAGAAATGTAACAGTGGGCCTTAACACTCATCAATTTGTAATGTTATTTATACAACAAAGTACATTAGATAATTCCTAGATGAACTTTTCAAATGAATTGCCTGTTTCAGGTATTATACAAGTATAAGATTTGAATTAGGGTTTCTTCAAGTCACTTCAGTCATTGTCAACACAGTCTCAGGTGTTGATTTATTATTATATCAATTAAAACAACCCAGTTTCAGCTATTTTCTTTTTGTTACACAATGTTAAAACTTTAGATCAAATTTAAATCCCATTTTAAACTATTGTGGATTTACCCTTGCCTTCATTTATTTATTTTTTCTACTTTTCCAAGTCCTACTTTTGTAATTACAGATTCTATTGTTAAACTTTTGTCCTAGACCCAAGCTTTTTAATTTTGAAACTGAAAATCCATCATAAAATTATTTATTACATTCAAAATCATAAATAGTGGTCTTTTAAAAAATGAAATCTGATCCAGAAGTGCTCTTAAGTGAAGAAACCCACATCAGTCTTTTGGTTTCATAGGGTTAAAACCATTGAACATAACTATCATCAATATGATTTGCTGATCAGGTGACTTTTGGTCAAATCTGAACATTTAACCTTCAATCACAAAATCTGCCTAGGTAATAAAAACTACTATGTTATGTTGCTCCCCCTGCTGGACAAGATGAGGAACTGAATTATCTTATGTGCTGCAGGCCATATCTCACAAACAGTTATGCATTTACTAAGCAAGGTGATGTTTTTTTTTATTTCAGGATGCAAAAGAGGCTGTGAAAATTGCAGGAGAAATTGGTAAGGGTCATTAAAATTTGGACATTTTTATAGTAGTTTTCATCTATCAAGAATAAGGTGATGTGATAAATCAAACTGAGAATGTGTGTCCGTCTCTTGAAGGCTACCCTGTCATGATAAAGGCATCCGCTGGTGGAGGCGGGAAAGGGATGAGGATTGCCTGGAATGATGAGGAAACCAGGTGAGACGTGAGAAAAGCAGATTTAGGGATCTTTTTAAGCAGTAATAAGAACTCTAAGGTTCTTATTTAAATAGTTGTAAGCTTTATTAGACTAATTAATTAATTAAATGAATTGGTTTTAGGTCAGTGGTATGAGGAATCAGGAATGGAAATAAACGAAGTGACCAGAGCATTGTCATTTTTCATTTTGTAATCCACGTTTACATGTAGAAAACTAAGAGACAGACTGTACATATTGCCATTCACAAATCAAACTTATGTCACAGAAATGTAACAGTGGGCCTTAACACTCATCAATTTGTAATGTTATTTATACAACAAAGTACATTAGATAATTCCTAGATGAACTTTTCAAATGAATTGCCTGTTTCAGGTATTATACAAGTATAAGATTTGAATTAGGGTTTCTTCAAGTCACTTCAGTCATTGTCAACACAGTCTCAGGTGTTGATTTATTATTATATCAATTAAAACAACCCAGTTTCAGCTATTTTCTTTTTGTTACACAATGTTAAAACTTTAGATCAAATTTAAATCCCATTTTAAACTATTGTGGATTTACCCTTGCCTTCATTTATTTATTTTTTCTACTTTTCCAAGTCCTACTTTTGTAATTACAGATTCTATTGTTAAACTTTTGTCCTAGACCCAAGCTTTTTAATTTTGAAACTGAAAATCCATCATAAAATTATTTATTACATTCAAAATCATAAATAGTGGTCTTTTAAAAAATGAAATCTGATCCAGAAGTGCTCTTAAGTGAAGAAACCCACATCAGTCTTTTGGTTTCATAGGGTTAAAACCATTGAACATAACTATCATCAATATGATTTGCTGATCAGGTGACTTTTGGTCAAATCTGAACATTTAACCTTCAATCACAAAATCTGCCTAGGTAATAAAAACTACTATGTTATGTTGCTCCCCCTGCTGGACAAGATGAGGAACTGAATTATCTTATGTGCTGCAGGCCATATCTCACAAACAGTTTTGTGTGTGTATATATATGAACTTTTATGAATGCTTTTGTAATATTAGAATAGTAGTGTAGTCATCATGTATTTAAAGACTCAAAAATGTTAAATAAATTCAAATGATATTTTATTTCATTCAAAATATTGTGCCTAGATTCCGACTAGATTACACTCTTTCAGCCAGGTTAATGAGAGAGGTCCTCCTTAGAAGCTTTTTCATTAGTCTTGAAAGAATAAAAACAAAAATTGGGAACAGAACGATTTTTATGCCCCCCAAGGCTGCATTTATTTAATAAAAAATATAGTAGAACTGCAATAATGTGAAATATTGTTACAATTTAAAAATTTTTTTACTGACCACAAACTTTTGAGTGGTAGTGTATCTGCTGGACACTCATAGTTATAAATAGTCCCAGCCTGGCTTATGAATATTAATTAGATGAAACCAGTCCGGCCACCCATAGTCGTAACTGATTACTGAAAAGCAGTTAAGTGGGCACTAGCTTTATTAAGACCAGTTCATTCAGTTTAAATGTGACCCTGGACCACAAAACCAGTCATAAGAGTCAATTTAAAAAAAAAAAAAAATTGAGATTTATACATCATGATTAAATAAGCTTTCCATTGATGTATGGTTTGTTAGGATAGGGCAATATTTGGCTGAGAAACAACTATTTTAATATCTGGATTCTGAGGGTGCAAAAAAATCTAAATATTGAGAAAATCGCCTTTAAATTTTTCCACATGAAGTCCTTAGCAATGCATATTACTAATCAAAAATGAAATTTTGATATATTTACGGTAGGACATTTACAGAATATCTTCATGGTACATGATCTTTCCTTAATATCCTATTGATTTTTGGCATAAAAGAAAAACCTATAATTTTGACCTATACAATGTATTGTTGGCAGTTGTTCCAAATATATCTGTACTAGTTAAGACTGGTTTTGTGGTCCAGGGTCACAAATCGAAATTCATTCTCTTGAGTGCCAACTAAAACTAAACATCTCTAATATAATGATTGTTGCCCAAAATGTGGAATAGAATAGAACAGAGCACAATATAGCAATTCTACATTTTTCATAACTGTTTACAGTTTAAGTTAATTTTCACCCACACTTTTGCATGTATGTGTCTGGTAGACACTTTTATCCAAAGTGACTTACTTTGCATACATATTTTGATCAGTTCTTGCTTTCCCTGGAAATCGAACCCATGACGTTAGTGTTGCTAGCGCCATGCTCTAATGTTTGAGCTTCAGGAAAGTCCACAAAATCATTCTGTTTATCTTTGACTAAAGAGCTTTACCTTGAGTTGCACATTCTACTCAACTAATTATAAATAAAACGTCTAGATTCAGTAACATTCCTGGAGCGCAAACAGTAAAGCATGGCACTAGCAACGCAAAGGTCATTTGTTTGATTCCCAGAGAATGAATAAATGGATAATGAATGCATAATGGATTATGTTCTTTACAGTGACATGGGATTTTTTCTGAGTGGCCACATTTCAGATATTTGTGCCAATGGTTTCTGTTGGTGTTTGCAGGTGTTGGCAGACAAACACGGCAATGCTCTGTGGTTGAATGAGAGAGAGTGCTCCATCCAGAGAAGAAACCAGAAAGTGGTGGAGGAGGCCCCCAGGTTTGAGTAGTTTTTTTAAAAATCTGAAGTCAATTACAAGACAGTCATTGCGAAGGAACAGGGAAAAATATGGTATACACATATGACTACACCATGGTTCATAAAAATTAATTTAAAGGCATAGTTCACCCAAAAATGAAAATTTACTCTCCCTCATGTCGTTCTAAACCCATAAGACCTTTGTTCATCTTTGGAACACAAATTAAGATATTTTTGATGGAATCTGAGAGCTCTCTGACCCACCCATAGACAGCAAGAGTCCTAACACGATCAAGGTCCAGAAACGTAGCAAGGACATCGGTAAAATAGTTTGTGACATCAGGGGTTCAACCGTAATTTTACGAAGCTACAAAAATACTTTTTGTGTGGTGTGCCGCCATTGTGGAGAATATCACAACGCATGTGTCTGCATCCTGTAAACGACACATGTGCGTGTTATGCTCCGATCTCCTTGCTACATAGTTCATATTAAAGCAGTGTTTCAGTTACACAGGTAACCAAGGAAGCGCCGTATGTGGTGTTCCAGAAGCACCTCCTGCTGTCAGAGACTGAATCTGCGTCTCATTCAGAGCTTCTGCTGTTTGTTTCGTTCAGGCATGTAGTATAATTTCACAGCTAGTCAGAACATTCTGTTTTTGCTTCAAACTGGGTTATTATTAAATCAAATGATGTATATGAAATTATATAACTAAATGATATGAAATGATATGTTATATGAATTATTTAACTAAAATTAAATAACTGTAATTACAGATTTAGGTTAAATAAAGATGTCCGTCTTTATTTTTCTTCTTTTTAGGAAACAAATCAAAGAAAAACAAACAAATTCTACTGTTCCTAATATTCTGTATGTTGCTCAAAAACAAAATATATTGTGTTCAGCGGGAAGGTTTTTTTTCTTTTTTACCCAGTCATTTAAAAATAACACATTTTAGAGCTGTAATGACAATACCGTGATACTGTGAAACCGTGATATCTTTGCTTAAGGTTATCATACCGTCAAAATCTCATACCGGCCCATGCCTAGTGCACACTATTGCTGAAAAAATAATAAATCGATATATTGATTATTGCGACAGGCCTACCTTGATCGTGTTAGGACCCTTGCTGTCTATGTGAGGGTCAGAGAATTTCTGGTAATTCATCAGAAATATCTTAATTTGTGTTCCGAAGATGAACGAAGGTCTTATGGGTTTGGAACGACATGAGGGTGAGAAATTAATGACAGAATTTTCATTTTTGGGTGAACTAACCCCTTAATCTAATTCAATTATCTAATTTGGTTGATTTAATGAAATCAGTTAATTTAATTCAATCATTTAATTTAATAAAATGAAACAATAAAAAAGTAAAAAAAAAAAAAAAGTAAGATTTAGAGATAAATAAAGTACAACAAGTAAACTAACAAGAAGATAATGCAGTTAAATAAACTTGACCTGCACTGGTTTCTAGCAGGTAAACAGACATTTTTTTTCATGCTTCAGACCGATAACAGCCGAAGTGAAAGTAAGCATAGCAGTGAAAGCAGTATAGCACAGGCCTGCTCAGAAAACAGTTACCTGCTACAGCATGAGTAATTGTCAGCAAAATTTTGAACCAAAAAATAGGCAGTGAATTCCGTTGAGAGCTGTGTGCAGACAGTACACTACCAACCTTGTGCAGCTACCTACATTACTATATGTTTGTGTTTGTATGTCTGGTTAGCACCTTTCTGGACCCAGACACCCGGAGAGCGATGGGAGAGCAGGCTGTGTCTCTGGCGAATGCAGTGAAATACTCCTCAGCTGGCACTGTGGAGTTTCTTGTCGACTCCAAGAAGAACTTCTACTTCTTGGAGATGAACACACGTCTACAGGTTTGTATGTGCAGGAGTATGTTTGAAACACCATTTTTGCTCTGTTGAAATATATGTTTTTGAAATGAGGAAAATCACAGGCAATTTATCATATATTATAGCCTGTTTGGGTGGCTTTTGAATATTGTGTTGGGCAATGGACGCCATTAAAGTCCAGGCTGAGAACCGCTGCTATTGATGAACCTAAATATCGGTTTCTTTTATTTATGGTTATGGAATAATTAAGTGTTTGTGGAAGAGAATAGTGGGACCTTTAGTTTAACATATTTAACACATTTGTATTGTAGCCTAACATTTGCTGTACAATTTGTCTGAGCCACACATTAACAAGAAGACATGAATTGTAAACAGTGCTGTCTGCTCTGACCATTAGAAAAGTCGACTCTGTTGACTTAAGAGAGCTTTAATTCATGACGTCATACAATTGCATTTCAGGTAGAATTAAATATGAAGGCCAATTATATATTAAGTTCAAGTACATTAACCACTCTGTCATCAAAAAACGTAAAACCTCTTAAAATAAAAGGTTACACTTTACTTGAAGGGGTGTACATAAGACTGACATGACACCTTCATAATCATGACATGACACCTACTTAATCATGACATGACACATGTCATGAATATGAAGGGTTTTTATGCATGTTTATGACAACTGTCATTAAGTGTCATTCGCTCCGTTATGTAATTTTTAATGCAAAGATTACATTGTTTGAGATGTCTTTGTTATGGGCTATGGTTAGGGGTAAGGGTAGGGGTAGGGTTAGGTCAAATAATGTCATATTTGCATTAAAAATGACATAACTGAGCGAATGACACTTAATGACAGTTGTCATAAACATGCATAAAACCTCCTTCATATTCATGACATGTGTCATGTCATGATTAAGTAGGTGTCATGTCATGATTATGAAGGTGTCATGTCAGTCTTATGCACACCCCTTCAAGTAAAGTGTTACCAAATAAAAAATATATATATAATTTAATAAACAGTTACACATTTAAATGAAACTTTCTGTCTATTCAGTCCCCTTATTTTGGCAGCTATAAGATCCAGAAACTCTCTGTAGTACTCAGAAACTGGCTTCCATGGTTAAGAATTGTGCTCATTCTGCCATTAAATATCCCCGTTCAAAACTGCTTGATCAGTCTTTTTTTTTGTCAATGAACGTTAATTTAAGAAGTATAAAACATTTCAATTGCCTAGTTTTCTAGGCAACTTTTTTCATTTTAATTTAGTTTAACTTGATGTACTGATATTGACAAAACACAAAAAATGACTAAAATCTTACTTTCAAATTAAGAAAAGTTTGGAGTGTGACTGTTTGAGGTTGTGGACAGGTGTCTTTTATACTGATAACGAGTTCAAACAGATGCCATTAATACAGGTAACGAGTGGAGGACAGAGGAGCCTCTTAAAGAAGAAGTTACAGGTCTGTGAGAGCCAGAAATCTTGCTTGTTTGTAGGTGACCAAATACTTATTTTACAGAGGAATTTACCAATTAATTCTTTAAAAATCCTACAATGTGATTTTCTGGATTTTGTTTTCTCATTTTGTCTCTCATAGTTGAGGTATACCTATGATGAAAATTACAGGCCTCTCTCATCTTTTTAAGTGGGAGAACTTGCACAATTGGTGGCTGACTAAATACTTTTTTGCCCCACTGTATGTGGGGGCGTGTTAGAACGAGCCGTTTTAGGGGGGCATGGCAGAGTCTTAACTTTGATAAAGAATATCTCTTTGGTTTTGAGACTTTAGTCTTTGCAACTTCAGGGATCTTATCTATGCACAATCAGCTTGTAACACTCCAAAGAGAAAGGAACACTTGAAATCGCATCATATGACCCCTTTAATAAAAACTCACAGTATCTCAATGACACTAAAATAACACTCGTACAGATGTAATATAAAAAAATCTGCAATTCATTTTGTGATTTTAGAAGTTGTAAGAACTGCATCAAAACAAAAACGATAGAACAAAAGAAATATATATAATTTTAGGGTACATCTTAATTTTTGTGCATGTTTTTTATTTGTATTTTTTTATAATATTAATTGGAGGGATTGAATATTAATAAAAAAAATAAAAATAAATTGCTGAGACCCCCTAGTGGGCCCTGGTTGGAGGCTACTTCTTTAATATATGATGACATGATCTGCATGAAAATAACATATATGCAGACCTAACCTAATTAATACGACTGGAATTGTCACCATTAGCAGATCAAAGATGTATTACGTGACATAAAGAAGAACACAGCCCAGAATGAATGTTTGGAGAGATGACTTAAACTCACGTCCCTGCATGAGCACCACAGCTGAATGTGTCAGAGTACATACACTAGTATCTAGGAAGTGTATGTATGTCGATCTTCATCATCATTTCACTTGCCACCTCACTAGAACCCAGAGCCACAGAGGACATCAAAGTGTCTATAAAGCTCATTAGTGTGGACTTCCCAAAGGAAAACACACAGAATGAGGAGGGGCAGCATGGGCAGGAAAAGGATTTAATATTTCCGCTCAAGGTTAATGACTTGTTGTTAGCGGCGCTGTCTGGTTAACAAGACTCTCTTGAACACCTATGTTAGCGTTTGAGTGCGTTTGGTGGGAGGTAATTTGTAGCCTTTTAATTCTGGTGATAGATTCCAATTTTTGCGTATTTTAGTAAAATGAGATGTAAAATGCAGCATGTAAAGTTTAATTTGTACACAGTGGTTCATGTTGTGAGTATGTCTCTCTCTCTCAGGTGGAGCATCCCATCACTGAGTGTATCACAGGACTGGATCTGGTGCAGCAGATGATCCGCATTGCAAAGGGCTACAAACTCCAGCACAAACAGTCTGACATACCCATAAATGGCTGGGCCGTCGAGAGCAGAGTCTATGCTGAGGTAAATCAGCAATCAATACAGTGACTAAAGATCTTAGTATTTCTGAGATCAGTCATGGGCCAGTATTTCAAAATGACCAAAAAAATCAACAGGTAATCAGGAAATTACTGCTGGTCAGAGTTTTTTTTAATTTTTTTTAAATATCTTGTCAGTTGAGTTATTATTGTACAAAATATAGTTTTTGTCATATGTGAATCTTTTAAATATTTCCTCCCATTCAAATGTTAGAATAATAATAATGCTTTTAATTTGCAAAAAAAATACTTAAATTGATTAAAAGAGACAAAAAGACATTTTATAATGGTACAAAAAAAATTATACTTTAAATAAATGCTCTCTATCATCAAATATATAAAAAAATAAAATGTTTAAAAAAACAAATTGTATCAGTTTCCTCAAAAAAATTTAGCAGCACAACTGTGTCTAACATTTAAAATATATATTTTTTCTTGAGCAGCAAATCCGTATATTAGAATGATTTCTGAAGGATCATGTGACACTGATTGAAGTAATGGCTGCTGAAGTTTCAGCTTTGCTTCACAGGAATAAATTACATGTTAAAATATATTTACATCAACAATTATTTTAAATTTTATAGTATTTCACAATATTACGGTTGAATTTTTCTGTACTTTTGATAAACTAAATGCAGCCTTGATGAGCATAAAATCTTACCGATCCCAAACACTGGAACAGTAGTGTACACAAAGTCTAAAAAATTCTATGCACATTATGTGCTTCTCAAAAACATTTGTTTTTAGATGGTTATTTACATTTTTTCGTGCGCTAGTACAAAAAATTAATTTGACATGTCTAAATATTCCCTTTGAAAATATTACTACAACAGGAATATGTATGTATGTGTATATATATATATATATATATATATACATACATACATACATACATGCATGCATGCATACATGCATACATACATCACAATTTGTACAGTGTCCCAACTTTTTTGGAATTGGGTTTGTATATATAAATACAAACTCATGCATGTATATATTTAAGAAAAAGATGTTATGTTTATATATTAAATATATTCATAAATAAAATATAAGAATATGAATATATAAATGTATAAACGTGTAAATAGTTTCAAAATATATACTGTGTGTGTGTATTTATATATATATATATACTGTACATAATAAATATACACAGTACACATGCATATATAATGTAAACAAAAACTTTTATTTTGCATGCGATTAATCATTTGACAGCACTAATGTGTGTGTGTGTGTGTATGTGTGTGTATGTATGTGTATATATATATAGACATTACCACAGTTTATTCGCTATAGTTTAGAAAATGTTAATAAAATATGACAAGAACTCAGAGTTAAACTGTGTCAGAACAAATTTATCTTGATAATGTCAGATAACTTTGATAGAAAGGTATGTAACAAAACATGGTCAGGTCAAAGTGTCAAATCAAATTTTTGGTCCCAAATTTTTATCAATTTTACTGGAAGTCCGTTGTATGAAGAAGTTTTGGGTATAATGTGTCTATTTTGCTATCCTTACTTAATCTATACAACTATACAAATGAACTTTAGTGTCCTGCACCCATATCTGGTGTCTGAATAATTTTTGGTTTGACTGTATATATATATATATATAATATATGCAAATGTATCTTGTAAATTAATCTTCATACTGTATCTGTGTTTAGTTATGTAATGGCATTAAATCTCTAGATATCACCCCATATTGGTCCCATATCTGGTATTTCAGAGCACTTGTTTGGTAGATTGGATAATCTAATGAGGTGACATTTCACCTCAGAAAAAAAGGAAAAGCTACATTGTTTTACATAAGTGATCCTAAATGAATTTAATTGACTTTGTGTGTCATTATTTTCATGACCATTAAGCTTCAGCCATTTTTGTCTGTTTTTGGGGTGAAATCTCATGATCTGGACATGTTGTTGGCAGATTTGTTTCAACAATATTTGTTTCTAATCTTCAGTAGGTCCTGTCCTATTAAAGCATCTGTCTTCATGATGATGGATTATCCTGCCATAAAATGACATTGAATGCTTTAACGTTCAGCCTTAAGATGATTTTCCTTTACATTTCGGTTTAAAAACAGATTAGGTGGGATGCATAGCATTTTCACTCCTTCAACAGATCTGCTTAATCCCGGGACTCACCTTAATCCGTGTCTAACAACCTGTCTTTTGTGTGCTCAGGATTATTATAGTCAGACATGTATTATATTATAAGCCTGACTAACACATATTCAGATAATGAGAATATTGAATTCATCTATATTCAATGAACTCACTCCAGCCCAGTGTGGGTCTTGTGTCTCATCTCATCATGTTGACACGTGCTGGCATGACCCAGTCTGGATTGCAGAAGTGTTGATGCCCGACAACAAGGAGAGAAACCAAGTAGACTGTGTTAACCCATCTTAACTGAGCCACAGTTTGACATAAACTTTAAAGACAGACACTTGAGCTCTTGTTTCCTGTGCTTTATTTCAGAAGTAATATTTTCTCTCTTTATCTCGCTATTTTTCAGGATCCATACAAATCATTTGGTCTCCCCTCCATCGGCCGGCTGTCACAGTACCAGGAGCCACTTGACCTGCCCAATGTTAGTACTCAGATCTGTTTGGCCAATTTTTTTTCTGTTCTCTTGTGTGTGAGTGTGTTGTGGAGAATAGGAACAGCTTGAATCACAACCAAGCTAGAGTCATGACACTTATTCAAAACATTCCTTTTTTCTCTGCCTGAGGAAAAGAAGCGTATTTGCTTCACATGAAGTGAACTGTAATTGGTATCATTTGAGGTATGTTGCTGACTAAAGTTTTAATCCTTTAAAATTTGTATCTATTTTATTTTTTGTTTTAAAAGTTAACATGAATATTTACAATGATAATGACAGATATTTAAGGATCTAGGTTGCAAGACTGGGGTTAATTGTAACGTTATATTCTATAAATGTGTTTGTGTGTGAGATTCACACATCAGTCAATAAAGGAAGAACAGGAAGACACATCCTCTTTAATGAAAGATGGCTGGTTTCCGGGCGCTGCTCAGGACAGGATGAGCAAAATATTTTTATTTCAGAAACACACGCACAGACATGCACGGATGAGGTATAAATGTCTAAAGAAAGCAAACATCACTGAGGATATTTACTAATTATTCTTTCATTTATAGGCAGGGCCAAAAAGATAACATTGTGTGATGTGTTCGGTGGTTATTTATAGTTTTGTGTTATTGAAGATAAAAGATTATTGTGTTTTGAAAAATCAAATGTAATGCAGGGCACACATTTTGCGAAGGAGGTGATATGCAAAATAAAAATATTTTTATATTTTTAAATCCTTTTAGACATATTGCTAAAGCTCTTCATGCAGGCCAGTTCATGCATGAAGTTTTTGGGAATTCGATTTTTGAATGATAATTGTTATTTTACTTTTCTCTTGAAGGTTCGAGTAGACAGTGGAATTCAAGAAGGAAGTGACATCAGTATCTACTATGATCCCATGATTTCTAAGGTAATAGAATAGTAATGTAAGACCATCTTAACAGTCTCATTTCATTTAAACTGTCAGACTAATCCACTGATTAATTATTGTTGGCATTGACTAGCTGGTCACATATGGTAAAACACGTGAAGAAGCTCTGAAGAAAATGGAAGATGCACTTGATAATTATGTCATCAGAGGTACATTGCATAAATAAATTTTAAATGACAAAATATTTCAAATGCACGACATTTCTTTCATTTCCAGTTTTCTCATTCGCACAGGTGTGACCCATAACATTCCTTTACTGAGAGAGATTATTGTTCACCCTCGGTTTGTGTCTGGTGTTATCAGCACTAAGTTTCTCCCAGAGGTGTATCCTGATGGGTTCAAAGGTCACATGTTAACAGCAGGAGAGCGACGGGAGCTGCTGGCTACGGCTGCGGCTCTTTATGTAGCAGCACAGCTCCGATCTCAGAAGTTCCTGGGAGATCTGAGGTGAGAGACAGATGGGGCATCTGGATTACACACCCGACACACTTGCCATTTATTTAAGCAGTCACATAACCATTTACAAGTTCTCTACAACCATTAGAGGAGTAGGTCACCCAAAAATGTTTTTTTTTAAACTTTATTTTTATGGAACATTTTGTAAGAAAACTATTTTTACATCAAAAAGAAATGAGAAAACAAACAATGCAATATAATAGGGGGGTATACATTGTTTTTTAACAAGTGTGTAAATATATATTTACACATGTATGATATCTATAATCAGTGATTATTTACATTACAGTATTCAATCCATTTCTTCCAATATTTTAGAAATAAGTCCTTTTTAAGTCTCAAAATATCTCAATTCTTCCACGTTGTAGATTTCTTTAACAATTTCTATCCATTCACTAAGTGAGGGGGTGTCCTGCTTATACCAACGCCTGATAACGCTCTTTTTACATGCTACACTTAATATATTTACAAGATATTCATCCTCCTTCAACACGATGTCTGTAAAATTTCCAAGATACAATGTTGTGAAATCTCTTGGTATTTCATATCCTAAAATCTTTTTAAACTCCCAACAAGACCATGTTCCAAAAAGGTCATTTTTTGAAGGTTTAACAATTTCTATCCATTCACTAAGTGAGGGGGTGTCCTGCTTATACCAACGCCTGATAACGCTCTTTTTACATGCTACACTTAATATATTTACAAGATATTCATCCTCCTTCAACACGATGTCTGTAAAATTTCCAAGATACAATGTTGTGAAATCTCTTGGTATTTCATATCCTAAAATCTTTTTAAACTCCCAACAAGACCATGTTCCAAAAAGGTCATTTTTTTGCACAACTCCAGAATATATGAAGGTGGTCAACATCAACCTGACCACACATCCTCCAGCATAGTTGTGGTGTGGATAATTGTTTACTTTAAATTTTTCCATGCAAACTCTTTCCACCTCCGTGAGCTGGTCAAAATGAAAATTTACTGAATATTTACTCGCCCTCGGGCCATCCAAGATATAATGAGTTTGTTTGTTCTTGGGAACAGATTTGGAGAAATTTAGCATTACTACACTCGCTCACCAATGGATCCTCTGTAGTGAATGGGTGCCGTCAGAATGAGAGTCCAAACAGCTGATAAAAACATCACAAGGAATCCAGTCCATCAATTAACATTTGAAGACATTGTAACTGTTCAAACTGCTACTTCTGGGCAAAAATGAGTCCATAATAACGCTTCCTCCACAATGACAACACACTGACAACAATCTTAATTTCATTGCGAAAGTGTTGTTTTTATGAAACTTATTTGGTTTTCTACAATGTTTCAAATGTTTTTGTTTTATAAATTCTACTGCTGCAAATAGGTAACTGTGTAGCTAGTTCACATAAACAATATTTTGGCAAAATTGTGAGTATAACAAATGGTAGTCTTAGTAGCATCAGAAACTTCTGAACAATCGGCAATATTTTGCACCATAAGGCATCATGTTTCAGCAAAAGTGTGTATCACATTAGTTACATTGTAGCTGTATAGTCAAGCAATTATTGCAAAGGAAAAACAAAAGATTCGCTTGTTTGTTTTTTACAAACAATATATAATAAAAATATAAATAGAGTTTTGTGTCAAAAATGTTGAAAAAAGACCAGTTTTGTTTTGGAGAAATGTTGGAAAATGTGAGAAAGGTGTTGAAAGTGCCAGCAGACAAAATCCTTATTGTTTAACCTTTCGTAATAATTAATAATCTAACAGGATCTTTTCTCCATCCAGCTCTACATCTGCAGCAGTTCAATATCTCACTGTGTTTGTAAAAGATAGCTCATGCTTCAGGGGCACCATGATCCAAATTTCTTCTTGTATTTCTGTGTAAATCCCCCTTCTACTTTTCCAGGCATTAACACAATATACCAGGTTAAATACAAGGTTCAGACAATAACCTCCTAATGTACAAACAAACAGAAAATGCGCTTGGCAGTAATCTGCTTACAATTGAAGCCCAGCAGGCAAGCGTACAGCACTGCGAATAAACATTTAGTGCATTCAACTATCAAACCAATCAAATATCAACTATCAAAATGTAATGGTCTTTTAATTGTAAATGAATTGGTTGTCGATGTACCCCTCGAACTCGGCCTATGCAACAGTCATAATTATTCTTCATCTGAAAAAGGCGACCAATTTACACTTGAAAAAAAGATGCAGAGAGGCCATCTGTCTAAACATCTCTCCAGCTTCCCCCTCCACTGTCTCTTTCTTTTCTCTCTTTTTATGTGTTCCAAAAGTTATTGGTGGGGGGTGGGCTTTCTCTTTGTAGTGAATGCAGCCCACCACAGTGGAAAAACACTGCATTCCTCCTAATACATTTACTTTAGGTCTCCTAGCTGTCAGTCAAACAGCTGGTAACCAGGTGGCTTGTGTGTGTGTGGGTTGGGGTTTAATTAATCTGTGAAGAAAAGAAACTTTATAGCTAAAAATGGTTAGAGAGATTTGTGATTGACTTAAATAGAGAGAAGGACAATGTATTTGAAGCGCCCATTATGACTAATGATAAACATTCTGTGTCTGTGTGTGTGTTCCAGGGTGTCCGTTGTTCCTGCAGAGAGCAGACAGTGGGAGCTGTGTGTGGAACTTGATAAAAGCGTTCACATGCTGGGTGTGTCTCGGTCTGGAAACAACTATACAGTGAGTGAAATTGTTCAAAATATTACATCTCTTGTCACTTCTCAGTAGGAGCTGTGGTGCAAGACTTCATACATTAGCTCATGTGAGTTCTGACATGTAGTGTGTCCTCATCCTATTCCTTCTCTCTCTCTTCAATAATTTCCTGTCGTTCCTGTCAAAGCCTAAAAATAATAAAATAATTGTCATGTCCCATTTACTTTATTATCCTAAACTAGGGATCAAGCTTCGTTAGCTTAGACAGGTTCCATACGGTAAGTACACCATCTGGACCTAATCTTTCCTGTACGACCATTCAAAAGTAGATGTGTAAAAAGTGTATTTAAGGTTTTGTTTTGTTATTAGTGTTTGTATATTATTTTTATTTACTTTTAATTTTTATTTCTATCCATTCTCCAAACCACTTGTCCTGTGTAGGGTCATGGGAGATTCAGGAGCCTGTCCCAGTGTCTCCGACAATAGACAGGCCAATATTGAATGGCCAGTATTTATATTTTATCTAATTTAATTACATTTAATCTGGAAGTGCTCTTGCAAGCTTTATTTATTTTTTATTATTTGTCAAGACATTTTTCTGTGGCTCAGGTGGTTGACTTACAAGCTTTTGTGATTCCAATAAGCAAAGATGTCAAGATTTCACACAGTTTCAACAAATATTGTCCTCAATAAGTCATAACTCAACCTTCTTATCCAGTTGATTTCTGTGAGAAGGTATGTTCTTTGCTTCTGTTATAGTACTCCCAGTGAGCGCTTTTGCTCCCTCGCTAACGCTCATGTTCTTTGTGGTGATATTTGCGTTGAAATCAATCCCTCGACTCTTGAGTCTAAATCACTTTAGGATCTGTGTGTCTTCCTCTTCTGTTACCGAAAGACCCTCACAGAGCGGCCGCTCTCACACTTTCCCTAAGACGTCACTCACTAACTGTGTGTTTAGACACCTGTGGCCCTTCAGTCAGGGATAAAAGGAGCCTCGGGGGTTCAGGGGCCTCACCTGATCTCTGTGGACCCCTCTCTCTCTTTCTCTTACAGCTGAGGGCTGGATGTGTGTCTCTCTCCCAGAACTGCACATCAAACTGGACCCCCTGCTCCAGAGAGGGCCCTGGAGGTTCCAGTGTCCCAGCATGCTTTGGGAATGTAACTGATTATTCAGAACTGTTGTTTAGACAAGTGTTTGAGGGCTGAGGGTAATCAGTTTGACCAGAGACACTGGTTAAAAGAAAAGACTAACATTAACCCCCCACCTCCCCTAACAGGCATCAGGTGGATTTGGGTGTAGAAACTACTGACTGACCTTACATGAGTTCAGAAACTTACAGTTTCTTTTTCCTTTTCTCTCACACACAGAGTAACTCAATTATAACATGGACTTTTGTTGTCCTCCGTCTAACTCCTACCTTGTGTGTGTTTGTTGGTTTAGGTGGAGATAGATGGAGAGAAGGTTGAAGTGTCTGGAGAATGGAACTTGGCCTCAGCATTGCTGCCCATCACCATCAACGGCAAACACAGGACTCTCCAGGTTTGCAAACATGCATGTGCATATATAGGGAATAGTTGACTCTGGTCCGTTATTGAAAATTTATGATGAATTATTGATAAGTAATACACCTGAAGTGGTAATATTTACACATGCATTTTTGCAACTGTCCAATCAATCCAGCTGTCCAGATGCCACATAAGGGCCAGGGTGATTCTGGCCCACCCAGATATTGCTGGTCGGTCCACTCAATCAATCAAAGCTGCCAGAATATACTAGCGGTGTGGAAATAAAAATGCAAATGAACCACATCTGTTGTGTATACATTGGAAAGTGTATTTTTATAGATGCGTATATACAAGATTTTTTTTTTGGCTGATCCGCTCACAAGATTTGCAACTGCTGTTTAATAAATGCAGTGTGCAGAATGATTATTGGGTTAATTAGTTTGACCCCATGTAGCCTGATTCATTCTGGTGAATTGGTTTGTTCGAATGGTTCTTGTAAATGTCCAAAAAGATTGAGTATTTCGAGTCCCAATTTAGGATTTCATGTCGTTTTTATTATAATTATTGTCTTCAACTATGAAGCTTTTATACTATTTATATATTTTTATATTTAGTATAAATGTATCCTTTTGACTTTGATGTTGTAGCCCTAATTGGGATTGTTCATTCATTATATATCCATAATATTGCTGGATAGACAAAAACAAACATCTATCAACTTGGAGAATATTTGGCCTCGCCACTGATCCAGAGTCAATAATTCAACCTATTATGTGTCTCTTTGGAGTATTTGATTCTGATTGGTCAACTGTATTCAATTATTTATTTATTGTCTCTGAATGCAGTGCCTCTTGCGGACAGCGGCTGGAGAAATCTCCCTGCAGTATTTGGGCACTTCAGTAAGTCTACAAGCACCTCAGAGTGGCGTGAACTATATGTCAGTGGTTCTTAACTCGTTTTACTTCAAAACCCAGATTATAGAGATGAAGTGGTGACCTAGCACAGAAGCAAAATGTGTCATATTAATCCAGCTGTTTGGTCTTCATAGACCGTTCTAGTCTCAGATGGTTTTGTTTGTTATATGTCTGTAGTTCATCCTTACGTTTTGTTTGTGTGAATTATTTAGTAGCTGCTCTTTTAACCATACAATAATGACTGATGTCACACCGAGGACAAAAACCATAATGAAAAATATAGTTTTAATAATCATTCTAATTCAGTGGGAATAGTGAAGTCCACACCACAACTATAATAATAATGACACAGACAAACAATAGCGTTGGAATCACTTTCAGAACAATTTTTTAAAAAGTATTTCATAATAAAACATTTAATTGATATAATATTGATAATAATAATAATAGTGTTAATTTTAGGCCCTGGTTATAGTTATTGCTTTTGTTGTGAACGTGACTTACTTAATACTATATGTTTGTGTTCATGAGCACTCTGTGGTGTTTTTCTGTGCACCTCATGCTGGGTGATATATGCAACATAATGTCGCTCACAGGGCCGTGTATCCTGTCTTTACACTCCAGTCAATCTGCATAACACGCAAACACACAGACTCTCACACTCAGTGTGGTCAAAGCAATGCACAGGTGTCTCAACCCAGCTACAAATCAACTCAAGCCGTCCCGTCTTTATTTACTCAAAGCCACCTAAACAATCAGCATCAACGTTTCAGCAGCTTAAACAAACAAACAGGGTTAAAAGCACAGTAACTCTGTAAAAGAAGAGGAAATGCCGGCTTCCAGGCTGCACACGCGTGTGCTTCATGGGGGGTCTCTGCTTCAAAGGTCTTCTGAGGGGGTTTGTTTCAAAGTTTCCCTGGGGTCACGGCTATTATGGGATGCCTTCCGTTCATTCTGTGCTAACAGGTCAGTGGGGCTGTGGTCGTCAGCGCTTGTCTGTTTCTCCATCAGGTAGTAGAGCACCTCATGTCGCAAACCGTATTCCCTAACCCATTTCATGCTGAGTAAAAAGTCCCAGAAACAGTACCACACCTTTATTCATATTATAAATAATCAAAACTTAATCTTGATCTTATAGGCTGCATCCCAAATGAGCATATTGTCCATCTTAAAGGGGTCATATGATGCGATTTTCAATTTTTCCTTTCTCTTTGGAGTGTTACAAGCTCTTGGTGCATAAAGAAGATCTGTAAAGTTGCAAAGACTAAAGTCTCAAATCTAAAGAGATATTCTTTATAAAATGTAAAGGGTTAGGTCACCTAAAAATGAAAATTAGCCCATAAATTACTTGCCCTCAAGTCGTCCTAGGTGTATATGACTTTCTTCTTTCAGACGAATCCAGTCGGAGTTATATTAAAAATTGTCTTTGATCTTTCAAGCTGTTTCATGGCACTCAGCGGGTGTTGCATGCATCAGTCCGAAAGCACTTAATTAAAATGTGCCCATCCATCAAAAAAAAGTGTCTCACACGGCTCCGGGGGTGAACATATATACCTATATACACCTATATATATACACATATACACCATATACACCTAGGATGACTTGAGGGCGAGTATTTTATGGGCTAATTTTCATTTTTGGGTGAACAAACCCTTTAAGAGTCAACCCCGCCTACCTAAAATGGCTCGTTCTAACACGCCCCCACATATCTACGTCACGATGTGGGAAGATTTGCATAACGCCGCCAAAATGTTCACGCAAAGAAAGAAGGCGTAACGTCTCGGTTACGTATGTAACCCTCGTTCACTGGAGGACCGACAAATTGGGATCTTGCTTAGAGGGACCAATCTACTTCGAGTGTAAACTAAATGAGCCAATGCACATTGGCATGCGATTATTGCATCCAGCTGGTGCTGATCACAGTGTGAGTAGAAGTAGGCAGCAGATGCAGCGCATATCCAGGTTTTCGCTGAGGAGCCGAGCCGATGACCCGGCCGCTCAGCGGTGGTACAGGATTTGTGGCGACGGGACGTGACGTCTCCGTTCCCTCCTACATACGTAACCGAGACGTTCCCTTTCAGTCGGTCACTCTCGACGTCACGTCGGAGGACCGACGAATTGGGATCCTACCAAAAGGCCACAGCTACCGCCCCTTCCAGTGTCCTGTGGAAGCCATCTACGCCCCTACTTTTTGGCATAGGCCAGGGCCTGCACAAGAGGACCAGCTACTGCTACTATGGCACTACCCACGGAGTAGACTGGATAACACTGGGGAAACTCACCCGTTCTACTTGGAACAGGGACGTGCGCTGAACTCGTTCAGTCTTCTTCTCTCAGTAGAGTAGTCAGGAGCAGAACGATGTGATCGCGAAAAGCTGAATATGCGCTGCATCTGCTGCCTACTTATACTCACGCTGTGATCAGCAGCAGCTGGATGCAATAATCGCATGCCAATGTGCATTGGCTCGTTTAGTTTACACTCGAAGTAGATTGGTCCCTCTAAGCGAGATCCCAATTCGTCGGTCCTCCGACGTGACGTCGAGAGTGACCGACTGAAAGGGAACTTTGATTCTCGCTGTAGTATTTTTGTTGCCGTGTGTTTCGTTGTTAAAGCGAAACTACTTTGTTTGGCCTTCCAAAAGAGGACTCAGTGGTTAAGTTGTATTTACAACACTGTTCCAGAACAGTTGAACCCAAATATTCAGATGTGCAGCACATTTTATGGAGGACTGTTTCCTGATCCTGGAAAAGACTACAATGCCGGCTGTTCTGACTAACAGACTATAAGTATGTTTTTCATATTTAAAGAATTTGCCACTGACGATTCAAATGCGAGTTTTGAGCAGTGTAGAGTAGCGCTTGTTGTTTGTCATTTCTCCGATCACAAATGCAGACATGGTTTTATGTTTACGCGGTGTGAATCAACGCAACGCATAAAAAGACAGTATAAGTCATTATAATCCATGATTGTGTCCCCACTGGATGCAACAGATGCCTTGTTTGTAATGGGTTTTATTGGTTTTGTCTCGTCGCACCGGGACACAGCATCACAGTATGGTAAGGGGCGTAACATTTCCGTCACATGCTTGAGGTATTCGGCCAATCACAACGCACTGGATAGCTGGCCAATCAGAGCACACCTCGCTTTTCAGACCGATGAGCTTTGTAAAAATCAACGCGTTTCAGAAAGGCGGGGCATAGAGGAGAAACATTAATGTACAGAATGTGGAAAATAATGGGGGTTTTTTAACCTTAAACCACATAAACACATTTCATTACACCAAATACACAAAATAATGTTATTTTTAGCAACGTCATATGACCCCTTTAAATGGCATGCAAGATTAGTATTAGTGTGTCCCAAATCACATTGAAAATTATGTAAATGGTGCCAAGATGGTATAATGTTTCTGGTAGATTTTTTTTGACGTGTGCATATTTGCATGCTTTATGGGTTAATGTCACCCACAACCCCTTGCTCTAGAATGGAGCATGATTTTGTGACAGTTTGCTTTACATTTCTTCAGTGTGTTGTAGAAAGCCTCCATGTGATAGCTGTGCAGACCTTGTGCTTTCTGGCAGTCGGTTTATTAAAATATTCAGGTGCAGTTTCATTCCATGTTTTTTGCAGCACTTCCCATAGGTGTGATAGGCTTGTAGAGCACTTCGTGAACCTTGCAGGTGAACACCTCAAACTGCGATTCATCTGTCGTTAATTGTTCCTATCCATTTACAATATCTGTCAGTAGCAGAGGTGGCACTTTCTTTGAAACTCTTGACTGTTTTGCAGATTGTATTTGGAATAGCCTTAGTCTCCCAAAACAGCAGCGTATGGACCGATGGGTTTCTAAAAGGGTTTCATTTTGGTCATTTTTTAAAATCAAAATTTGATTCACAAGTGTACAAGGACTTCAGTGCACTCAGTGCTTTAGCAGTTGAAAAAAGACGGTGTCTTGCAGTCTCAACATCATTATGCAGTGCAACTATGTTCAGCTGTGCTGGTAATAAGAATGTGTCTCGAATACCAATTCAGTACATTAGAAAGATTTCTTAAGGATTATGTAACGGTGTTTTGTTGACTGAAGTAATGAATGCTGTAAATGGGGCTTTGCCATCACAGATTACAGATCTGCCGTATCCAAAGACTCTGCTGTTTAAAATTCATGTTATTTTATTCACCTTTTTACTGAAATTGTTATACTGGTAATATGTCATATGCTTGGGAACAGTAAAATAAAATATTCAGCAAGGATGCATTTAATTGGTCAAAAGTGGAGGAGATTTGAAATAAATGCTAGATGAAAACTTTGTTCATGAAAAAAATAAAAAAAATAAAAAATTAGTTTCATGCTTACCACAAAAATATGAAGCATCACAACTGTTTTCAACATTGATAATAGGAAATGTTTCTTGAGCAGCAAATCAGCATATTAGAATGATTTCTGAAAGATCATGTGACACTGAAGACTGCAGTAATGATGCTTCAGCCTTGCATGGCAGCAATAAATGACATTTTATATTATGTTACCCTGGACCACAAGAGAGGAACATTTTTGGATATTTGCAGTAGGAAATTTACAAAATATCTTCATGGAACATGATCTTTACTTAATATCCGAAAGATTTTTGGCATAAAAGAAAAATCGATAATTTTGACTCATACAATATATTATTGGCTATTGCTACAAATATACCTGTGCTACTTATGACTGGTTTTGTGCTCCAGGGTCACACATATTACATTAGCAAACTTAAAAAAAAAAAGTTGTTTATAGTTAAGTTATTTATAATAACTAATAAATAATTATATTTTACATTTTTTCATGTCTTTACTGTATTTTTTGATCAAATAAATGCAGCCTTGGTGAGCATGGAGAATCAAAAGATAAAAAAAAATCGAACTAACCCCAAATTATAATGTTGTTAATTGGTCATATAATTTGTAAAGATAATGGAAAAATAGTCGAAGTAATTCCAGTCTTTGTCTTTATACATTTTAAATTCAAGTGCCCAACTATGTTGTGGTACTTCTCCTAAGCACATGCTGGCAGCCACTAAATATTTCAGTTGTGACTTCACCTTGTTGCTCGGAGATTTAGTGATTTGACCCCGGTCACAGAATCCTCACCCTTCATCAGCCTGTGTGACCTGACTTTAGCACAATGATGTAAGGCTTCCTTGGTTGAATTCCTGGAAAGCAGACACATTCCCTTCAGAGAGCTACCCAGTGATTAATGAGTGAGCCACCTTTTCCTTTCTGCTAAACATAGTGCAGAAATGACATCACTAATATACAAGGGGGTCTTCACAATGACACGCTGGTTAGAAATTGCCACTGAGGGTGAGAAACCTGTAGGGCTTGTTTACACTTGTAGATTGGTTCTCAATTTAGTCCCTAAATCGAGCCATTTAGTCCTGGTTCACTTAGCGTTTGCTCTCTAATTTTTATTACAGAACCTAAAGATATAAAATAAAAGGCACAAGGATACAGCCACAACCTGATTGGACTGCTTTTATGAGGTATATTTAGTGACAGAGCTGAACGTCCAAAACAATGCCGTGTTCTGGGCTAAATGTGTTCACTGGATGCATGTTCATATGTGGGTATTTTTTACCAACCTGTAACCCACAAACAGCTTATAGAATGTGTAAAGAAATTGCTGCACACATGGAGATCCGCTGCAAGGAGACCGCGATGCTTGTACTAAACTGTAATGGTAATGAGCTCATATAGGAACTATGAGTTCCAGTGTTGAGAAGAAAATGTTTTTAGTTCGTTTGAACTGCAACTCAAAATTTGGGATCAGTAAGATTTTTTTATGTTTTTTAAGGACGTTTCTTATGCGAATCAAGGCTGTATCTATTGGATCAAAAATACAGAAGAAAACCTGTCATTTTGTGAAACATTATTGCAATTTAAAATAACAGTGTTCTACTTGAATATACTTTATAATCTAATTTATTCCTGTGAAGCAAAGTGGAATTTTCTGCATCGTTACTTCAGTCTTCAGTGTCACATGACCCTTCAGAAAGCATTAATATGCTGATTTATGTCAATATTTTTTGGGACCTGTGATAATTTTTATTTTTTTTAGGATTCTTTGATACATAAAAAGTTAAATGTTGTGTTACAATATATAACACTATTCAAAAGTTTGTGGTCAGTAAATGTCTTTTTTCTTTCTTTAAAGAAATTAATACATTTATTAAATAGATAGTAAAGACTTATATTGTTAGATAAGATTTCTATTTTGAATAAATGCTGTTCTTTTTACTTATTCGTTAAAGAATCAAAGAAAAAAGATTGTGGATTTACCAAAATGTATGAGATTTAAAAAAATGTTTAACGGTAGTTAAAGCAAGAAGATTAAATATACATGGGCACAATGCATTGGTACGCTCTGCAGCATTTCCAAGTATCCGAAAGCCCTGCAAGCAAGTCATTTTCCATAATTTTCTTGGATGTGCAATCTTTTACAGGGCTGCTATTAAATTAGCATTGATCTTGGTCTGAATAAGTTATAATGTGCATTTTACTGCAAAAAAAAAAAAAAGGCTGAAATGTGTTTGTGTGTGGGTTTGATGGTAGTCTTTTGGAGTGTCTTTCATTCGTTTGGTTGTTTGTATCATCATAGTGTTCTTTCTTTAATTTGAGGTATCAGTGTAACCATTTCTCTGTCTTTCATATGTTCAGTTTAAGCTGCGTGTGCTGAGTAAACTGGCAGCATCTCTCAGTAAACACATGCCAGAGAAGGTTCCAGAAGACACCAGTAGTATCCTCCGCTCTCCCATGCCAGGATCTGTGGTGGCTGTGTCCGTTAAACCAGGAGATAATGTAAGACACTTCCTGGAAATACTGCAAATGCACGGCACAATCAGTAGAACTATATTTCTCCCCAATTCCCAGTTTGACATATGGATTCACATTTAATTTGGATTGTTCAGAGGTCTCTGGGTAATACTTTTAAGAAAGCTGATAGTAGTCAAATGCCAGACACTTAGAAACAAGAGGAAAAAGGATAGCTTGATATTAACAATAAACATAGTATGCAAGTACACTTTACCTTGTGTTAGTTCACAGAGTGATAGTTCACCAAGAAATGAAAATGCGGTCATCATTTACTCATTATCTTCATGCAGCAAAAAAGCATAAAACATATTGCTGATGTATAATTTTCCTAGCTTTCTGATAAATTTTGCTTGAAGAAAAATATTGAATACAAATGCAGCCTGATATTGAAGCAGTTTTATATTGGGTTAAAAAAATCGGAAAAATGGTGCATTTCTGCCATCCACTGGACTGGAGTATGAAGCGCTAGATGGCACACAAATATGTATGGACCAATGGCAAAAGTTTGCAGTTTCCACTGAAATCTGCCTGGACAATTCTAAAATATAAATAATTATTATAGGCTTACTATTGTGATTCAGGATAAGGCAAAAACACAGTTTGGAAGATGGATTTATGATGTACTCACTCATTATTTAAAGGAATAGTTCACCCCAAAATAAAAATGTCCAGGAAATGTACTGACCCTCAGGCCATCTGAGATGTAGATGAGTTTGTTTCTTCATCAGAAACACATTTGGGGAAATTAAGCATTACATCACTTGTTCACCAATGGATCCACTGCAGTGAATGGGTACCGTCAGAATGAGTCCAAACAGCTGATAAAAACATCGCAATAATCCACAAGTAATCCACACGAGTCTAGTCCATCAGTTAACATCTTGTGAAGTGAAAAGCTGTGTGTTTGTAAGAAACAAACTCATCATTAAGACGTTTTAACTGTAAGTCGTTACATGGTAATTACATGGTATAGCTTTAAATACTGGGTTGTTTTTCGAACTTAAAGGAACAGTTCAACCAAAAATTTAAAATCTGTCATTAATTACTCGCCCTCATGTTGTTCCAAACCTGTAAGACCTTTGTTCATCTTCGGAGCACAAGTTAAGATATTTTTGATTAAATCAGAGCTTTCTGACCCTCCATAGACAGCAACACAACTGACACGTTCAAGGCCCAGAAAGGTAATAAGGACATTATTAAAATAGTTCATGTGACATCCGTGGTTCAACCTTAATTTTATGAAGCTACGAGAATACGCTTTGTGCAAAGAAATCGCTGAAAAATTTCATTCTTTTTGTTTTCTTTGCACACAAAGAGTATTCTCGTAGCTTCATAAAATTAAGGTTGAACCACTGATGTCACATGGACTGTTTTAACAATGTCCTTACTACCTTTCTGGGCCTTGATCGTGGTAATTACATTGCTGTCTATTCAGGGAAAGAAAGCTCTCGAATTTCATCAAATTATCTTTGTGTTCCAAAGATGAACAAAGGTCTTACGGGTTTGGAACGACACGAGGGTGAGTAATTTATGACAGAATGTTCATTTTTGGGTTAACCATCCCTTTAACAATTTAAGCATTTCCAACAAGCCACTTTGTGCAGTTGCTTAAGTGAGTCGTTATTTGCTGCCGTTGTATTAAATTCACCCAACCAGGTGTTCATTAAATGATCTCCTTTTGTGTTTCACAGAACAAAGAAAGTCATACAGGTTTAAAATGATGTTTAAATGAGGACAGATTTTTCTGTTTCGAATGAGCTATTGCTTTAAGTAACGTGATTTGCATTAGGATGACATAATTTGTAAAGCTGACAGTGCACTTCAGAATGACAAAATGTCTGCGTGTTGCTGTCAACTTGAATTGAATGTGTCCTGACTCAGTTTGTTAATGACTTCTATATAATGTACAGACCGACTGGCTCCGGCTAATACATCTGAGCCCTTCCAGTAAAACATCTCATTCACTCAGCAACATCACACACACAAGAGCACTGCAATGAAGAGCTCTCACACTGATTAGTCACCACACACACACACACACACACACACACACACACACACCTGATTTCGGCACTTCTGTATAGATAAGACAGAAATGAGTCCTTGTGGATGGAGGGAAACAGCGATTCCTCAGTGCTCGCTTATTTCCATAATCCATTTCCCTAATGGAGAGTTTGATAGATATAAACAGAGGTTTCTTTATTGATTTTGCTCTCGCGTTACAGTGAGCGCTACAGTGAGCTTTGTGCGTTTGTTAACTGTTATGACTCTTCTAATGCATGCGCCTTTATGAAATTATATTACAATATTCCCCTGCTCTTTGTGCTGAGGTCGTTTTATGTACTAGACCTGCACGAGTCTATGAACAGATGCTCTGTGAGTCATGTGTTTCAAGAAGTTATTAGAAAGTACTCCTTGTGGAATAGCTGTTGCGGTTTATTTGTTCATTGGTGTTCTGAAGGTTGCAGAGGGACAGGAGATCTGTGTGATTGAAGCCATGAAGATGCAGAACAGCATGACCGCAGCAAAGACAGCCAAGGTGAGCTCACTCACATACATACATACTGTAAGTTGATACACAATCCTCCTCACTACTCTGTGCATCATAAATCGATATGACATAAAGAACACACTCTACCACATAGCTACATTACAATACCCAACACCATGAGAGAGAGAGAGACCGCGAGGGGCCGCGGTCCATTATCCACACTTGTATTCTGACCAGACCACTTAGCTACTGTAAAAAGTCTCCCTCCTTGTAAGATGACTAAAACCAGATTATGGTTCGTTTGATGGTTGGCGGGATATTTTATTTTACTTCATGTCAGGGTTGTTATATATAACTAAAACCATAAAAAAAACATTTTATCTAAAACATTTTTACATATACATTTTTTTCAGCTAGTTGCCAAGACATTTCTCATTTTGACTTAAAGTGATGTATTTGATGAACTAATATAACTAAAACTAAATCTTCAAAATCTATAAAAAAAACTGTATAGACATAAAAAAACAATAAAAATGACAGAAATTACTAAAACTAAAGTAAAAATGCAAAATATAGAAATATAACATTAAAAATATTACTGAAAACTCTAAAGTTCTTTGCACACCTTGCACAAATTCTCGTCCGAAATGTTCGCATGTTAAAAAATAAATACGACCTTGCATTGCGTCAATAACGTTTACACACTGCCTCCGAAACTTTCGTCCGTCATAAAAAAAATTTGGATCAGGTTCGATTTTCTGTGTTTTCGCATCCGTAGCAAGCGTTTTGATAGGAAAGAATGACAAATACGGGAAGAGAAAAAAAAACACATGGAAATTTCGAACTCCGTGTGCAAAGACCTTAATATTATCTCAGTGATTCTAAAATAATGCACCTTCATGCATCATTGTATTTTTCTTCAAATATCTCTCAAGGTTTGTAGAATCACTAAAGCATCAACATAGGTTGTATCCAAAAAGTCTTAAACTTATTCAAATCTAAATCTAATTTATAGAAAAAGTATAAATAAATAATTACTTTAAAATTACCCAAATATGGAATATTATGGAAGCATTAGTTAGTTTGTTAAATAGTTTTTTCTATTGTTTCTCTGGAAAGCTTCCTGCGTCCAGTGTGTTTGACTGACATTACTGACTTCAACACAAATAGCTTTTTCAGATGCAGAAATGTTGGACTTTCCTAATAAAATGTGTGTTAATTTTCAGGTGAAGAGTGTGCACTGTAAAGCTGGAGATACAGTCGGAGAGGGAGATCTACTGGTAGAACTGGAGTAGTCAGTCGCTGTGGATAAACAATCAAAGACACTAGTAGACTAGATGAATCATTCCTCATGGTTTTACTCTGATTTTTTACATTATCGCTATAATATATCCATCTCCCTGCAATCTAGCTGGATTCCAGTGAAGGAAATGTCAAAACACTTACACTCTCTCGTGCCTTGGCCCTCCGTTGGAGGTGTTTTCATTTCACATGGAACAAACCACAATTTGACATCAGCAGCAGTGAATGAGTTTGAACGCATCTTCAAATGCAGTCAGTGAAAGCAGTTGACATTCTCTCTACTCGCTGTGTTGATTTAGCATTGTTTAGAGGAAGTGCTGTGAATGTTTTGCATTGCTGCAACTCATTTTTAATTATAAGGTTATATTATGCAATGATTTTTCTGCTCCATGAATATTCAAGAATAATATAGGTCTATTCACTCATCTACAAATCAACAGTCCCACACTCGTCTATTTAAGTGTTTCCATAGAACTTGTACCTCATTTCTGTCATCAAATGCATTCAACTCAATTAGTGATTATTTCTGCACTTAGGTCTGTAGGTGCACTGTTCAAACACTTCATTTGCTTGGGCTTTAATTGTTCAGTCGTTTCCCCTCTTTCTAAAATTGTGAATCCGGAAGGAGCGGACCATTAACAGAAGGAGAAGGCAGATATGATTACTCAGAAACTAACAGACAGCTGTGGTCAGGCTTGGAGGAGGCACTTAGATCCACTTTCTGTCTGTACCTGTTTTGAGAAAAAATAAAGTGTTATAATAAAAATGGGATTAATGTAAACATTCCAAGTGCTCATGATTGCTTGAAGCCCTAGGCTTGGGAAGGAAACGCATGAAATGCATGATTTGATTGAATGCTGTGTGGCAGCAGCTATTTCCAGATGAGAAACAGACGCATACAACAGTCAAACCAGTTTGATTTGTCTTTTTTTAATGTAGCAACCTTTTTCTCTCACAAATGTAACAAATGTAAACAAAATATGTCAGTTGACCAATAATTTGCCTGAAATTGGGCCACTTTTTTGTAGTTTGGAAAATGTTCGATTGCTGCGAGTTGTCTCCACTGTAACGTGGTTTCCTGTTATTGATGTAAAAGACTGTCAAAACCAGAGAGGATTGATTTCGCTAAAAAATGTACTGCCTGTGAGTGTAAACACAATAGTTTGCTTCTTCAATACCACATTTGGTTTGTTAAGAAACCGATTTAGACTTGCTTATTCTCGCAAGTAACATTAATAATAGGATTTTAGTAATGTAGTAATCGTAAAATTAGTGTGATGTTGCGTGTTTTCCATACAAACACGTTTGTTCTTCACTCTGAGATGTTCGAGTTCAGCAGTGGCTGTCGGTGTAGAAACTGGATTGCATTGTTATGGTTGTGCTTCAGAACGGTCACAGCTCTGACTGTGGCCTTAAGCTGACGATAAACTCATTACACACGCGCGCACACACTCAGAGACCCCACCCCACTGACCTTTGACCTTTCTCAGTTGCTCACATTTGAAACCTAATGGCCATAATCTTTCCTGTAGCCACTGTGAGAGAAACTGCTTCCTCCTCGTTTTATTCAATACTGTAAAAAATAGAAAAACAAACCTAGACTGCACTGGATCTTCGGGTAACACTGTTCAATTCTCCTCAGTGAATCCTTTCTTGTAAATACGTCACATGCAGAGATTCAACCGTAAACTAGGCCTCACACTGTAGTGACTCTCATGACCAGTTCGCGGTTGCTGTTGCTGGTCTGTCCGCGTGGCTCCTGGGGCCTCAGGTGGTGGCTGAGGAGATGAAGGATGTTGTAAGCACAGTGGTGGTCTGGCAGTGAGGGTTGCTCATTGCTGGGCTCAGACGAGTCCTGCGGCTCTGTCGTGGCACCTGCTGCCAACGGGACGGAGTTTGTGGTGGGGGTTGCGGTGCCCGCCGCTGCAGCCATGAGGGAGGATGTGGAGGTGGAGGCTTCACCTTCCGTGCCGGTCGGCCACATCCGGTGCGTCAGCGGCAGAGAGAGGGTCCGGAATGCAGCACAGGTCTTCTGATGCTCCTCGTTGTCTTTGACCTTGTCGTAGTTTAAGACTTTCCACTGCTGATTGACAGCCTGCCAGCGGTTAAAGATGCGAAATACGGAGGGACCTTCGTGGACAATCAGAGCTAAAAGAGAAGGACAGATGGATTTGCTAAGTGAGGGATAATGTACAGTCAGACAGTGTCATGAACAAATGGTCTGCCTAGGAAGCCATTCCATTTGGTGAAAGACTTTTTAATGGGTACTTAAAGGAAATAAATACTTTTATTCAGCAAGGGTGCATTCATTTGATCAGAAGTGACAGTAAAGACATTGCGAATAAATGCTGTTCATTGAACTTTCTATTCGTGCCGAAAACAAGTATCACAGTTTCCACAAAAATATGAAGCAGCACTGTTTTCAACATTGATAATTCTAAGATTTTGTTTTTGTGTGTGCAGCAAGTCAGCATATTAGAATTATTTCTGAAGAATCATATGAGTAAAAGCTTTGCATCTCAGGAATAAATTACATTTTACTTGCAGTATACTCGCATAGAAAAAAATGCAGCCTTGGTGACAAACAAATGCAGCCTTGGAGAACAGAAGAAACTTCTTTCAAAAACATTCAAATAATCTTATTAAACTCACAGTTTGGACAGTAGTCTTTGTTAATAACAATTCATGTCTTTAAATTATATGCTTAAATCTTCCACTTTTTTCTTCCATTTTTTTCCCCACAAAAAAATCATTGCAGTGTACAAACAAGCACCCAAGTACTCGGAGGTATTTTTTTGATAGGCAACTGGATACATAACTCAGCTGGCAGCAGTTGAGTTGTTTCTTTAAACTTAAGAGTCCATGATGTGATATGAGAGACATGAAAAGTAGGGCTGGTTTCAGATGTCTGGATAACCGGAAATACCACACTATTTAATGGGAAGATTGACCAATCAGAATGTATTCCACAGAGCCGTGTAATAACTAGTGGCTAGTTACTCTAATACTAATACACATAAAACTTCACAATACATGGAGTTCTATTTTATTTTATTTAAAAACACTGAAAGTGAATACTTGTAGTTTTACTGAATTACATTTCCCAGGCTAAATAATTATACTTTTTACTCCTCACGTTTAATTTAGCTTTCCAAAGTGCATATTTCACAGGTCATCTTGACATTTTTCAAGCCAACTGGATTAACATTTAATAATAATACTTCAGATTCAAATTCAAAATAACTACTTCAGCGAACAGTGCACCATTTTTTCTGTATTTAATTACTTTTGGCTTTTCATAACCTCTTGAATCCAGTGTAATTACACTATTAGCAAACAGGGAGTGTCTTGCGGCAACAAGGTTAATACAGACATTTTCCCCACACTTACAGAAAACATCTCAGTGATCTCATGGATCATGAAAATGTGCAGTGCACAGTGAGGAACAGGTGTTTTGGAAAGTGTTAAGGTGTTGTCAGAGTGATTTCTTTGTACTTTTATACCTCCGGCTTGGTTTAACTCACACCATTGTATTTGTTTCTTCAGAGGTCCAAATAGAAAGACAACAGTGATCTGCATTAATATTTTATGTGATACTGGGTTCCCCTCTGAATGTCTGCAAGAACTCTACACTTCATTTTTACACATACGCCAGACAATTTTTTCCCCATATTTCAATTTTCACTCTCTGAGCTCTGATGACAGTGAAGCTCCCTTTTTTTTTTTTACAAACCAGCTCTCTGCGAGTGTTAGATTACGAAGGCTTGTTTCTGGTGGAGTTGAAAGCGATCTCGGATGGTTGTGAAAGGCTAGTGCCCTCCCTAGAGCCCTGAGGTTCTCCTCTCACTCTAGCTGCTCCAGAATCAATGAGACAGACCACTAACCGACGTTATCACTGTACACTGCAGACCACTAAAACAAGCATCGTGTGAGAAGGTATTAACAGTTTTCAATCGACTTTTCTACAAGAGCTTAAGCCAAAGCCCCAACGTTGAGAAAACTATACATGCACTGAATTTGTTTCAACGTTTATATCACATCAGTCACATTTGTTCGATTAAATGTGGGGAAGAGCGCTAATCCTGGAGTTGATGCTGTAGTGGTTACTATTATTAGCTTTATTGGAACAGATAACTGAAGTTTCAGTACACAGGACAGAATTAATGTATCCACAGTGGCATTTATATGCAGCAAATGTGTACGAGTTGAAATTAGGTTGTGGAGGAGTTTATTAGCGTTTCATGAAGATGCCTATGGCTGCTGCAGCCTGATTTTCAAGACCCTGTCTTTCTCTCAGTCACTCTTCCTAAGTTGGACCGCACATCCTCTCAGTACAAGGAGAGAATGCGAGACGTGTATTGATTTAACACGCACACATTTTCCTTTAGCTGAGAGGATAGCTGAAGGAAATTCTCAGGGCAAAGCTTGAATTTTAAACAGCAGTTTATTCTGCTGTAGTACGGGATTTTTTTTGGCTCCCAACCAGTCCCACAGTGGATGGGAAGAGGGCTCGGCTGTGAAAAGCCACTTTGCCACCTGTCTCTTCTCTTAGCTTCACTCTCAATTTTGTTCTCGTTCTCCTTCCTTTTTTTGTCCCCATAGGGCTTTCCTTTCAGATGAATCTATGTTATGGGAGATGATTTTAAACCAATGACTATAATTAGGCACAAAATTCTGTCATATTTCAATATTAAACCGAAAGCTGTTGAGCAAGATCGCATCCCACCTAAGCAATATTGAAACGAACCACTATTGGGTGATAAATGATAAATTGCAAATTTGTAATGAGACTTCTTTAAACGCTTTATTATTTATTTATTTATTTATTGCATTCAGGCTTGTAAAGCCAGAGGTCCGGACCTCTGTAAATGTTTCATGTTAAAAAATAACATTTGTTCTCTGAATGACTAATTTGCTGTTTAAAACTCCTCTCATGAATGTCTGCATGTATAACTCAGTTTAGACAGTTTGCAAGAAAGTTTAGCATCCGTGGTATGAAAATGATCGCGGAGCGAACAAGTCTTTAGAGACTTCTGAGTGAGGCCGTGGGCACAGTTGCCAGATCCAGATATTATAAGCATTTTTGTACTTGTCTTTTCCACTTAAAGGAATACTCCACTTCCAAAATAACAATTTCTTGATAATTTACTCACCCCCATGTCATTCAAGATGTTCATGTCTTTCTTTCTTTTTTGAGGAAAACATTCCTCAATTTTTCTCCTTATAATGGACTTTAATGGTGCTCAATGGATTGAGGTTAAAAAGCAGTTTCAGTGAAGCTTCAAAGGGCTCTAAATGATCTCAGCCGAGGAATAAGGGTCTTATCTAGCATAATAATTTTTTTTTTTTTTACAATTTATATACCTTTTAACCTCAAATGCTCATCTCGTCTAGCTCTGCAATGCGCATGCGTACTCTGTGCACTCTGGTTCGAAACAGTTAGGGTAGGTCGAAAAACTCCCATCTCATTTTCTCCTCCAACTGTGTCTACTGAACGTAAATTGCGTATGCTGTTTTGTGTCAGCTGCGCCACGCGGATATGCTGTTTACATCGTTTGCGCTTTGATTTGAACGAAAACAACGTATCCGCGTGGCGCAGCTGACACAGAACAGCATACGCAATTTACGTTCAGTGGATATTCTCCATAATGGCGCCAGGGTGGAGATTACTCCTCCTATCGGAGGAGACGAATTGTTGAATAAAGTAGTTTTTTTTTCTTTTGCGCACAAAGTATTCTCGTAGCTGTGTAAAATTACGGTTGAACCCCTGATGGCACATGGATTATTTTACCGATGTCCTTGCTACGTTTCTGGATCTTGATCGTGTAAGGAGCCTTGCTGTCTATGGGAGGGTCAGAGAGCTCTCAGATTCCATCAAAAATATCTTAATTTGTGTTCCGAAGATGAACGGAGGTCTTACGGGTTTGGAACGACATGAGGGTGAATAAATAATGACAGAATTTTCATTTTTGGGTGAACTATCACTTTAACCCCACCCCACCCCAGCCCAGACCGCACGAATTATGAAACCCTGGCTACGCCCATGATTGCATTGTCACAAAAAGTGACAGATGTGGAGCTCTAACTATTGATAGTGAACCCTATTAATATATCACTTTGGATAAAACGGCTAAACTATCTTAGAGGATGACACTCTCCTTACAAAACTTATTGACCATATAAAAACTACAGCAATATTCACAATGTTGTTGAAACATATGTTGGCAGCAAATTTATTAAATCCATGCATTCTAGAAAAATATAAAAGAGGATGGATGTATGGATAGATAGATAACACATTAATCTCTGTTGTAGCTTATATTTTTGAGGAATTTTTATACTTTGCACTGCAGCACTTCTCTTGGTACTGCCAGTTTAAGATGTATTATATATGTTACAATATTATTTGTTATATTGTATTACTTATTTGTAGGGTTGCAAAAAGGTGGAACATTTCCAGTAAAGTTCGGAAACTTTCCAGGATTCTTTTGGAATCTTCCAGGGACTTTTGGAAATTTTCCACCCCTTTGCAAACCTACTTATTTGTAACCCCAGACACAAACTGTGGACTTTCCTTGCATTTTTAACAATGCTTTTTGATGGAAATATGCATAATTCTGTGAAATAGATTTTAAACTTGGGAAAAAAATACTTTAAAAAGATGAGAGTTCAGTTTGCTGGTAACTGAAATCATCAGCAATTTTCCAAAATACTGTATAAACACAAACTTTGGATAAAAGCATACATTGATACAAAAGCATACCTTGTGATAAATTGCTCGTAATATTCTTAGAGGACCTGATGCCCCTTTCTGTCGGGAGTGGAAATATTAAAAAGGCTAATGTTATTCCCAGTGATGGTGTTTTCAATGAAACGATCGCCTTTAGGCATTATCTCCATTCTCTCCACCTAATCAGACAGAATGGACTCTTGTTTCCTCTTCCTCCCAGTCTGGTTTCTTATTGAGACAGAGCGATACATCACGATGAGAAACTCTTGAGGAGCTCTGCCATTGATCTACAGCACACGCACGCACAAATGGATGAGCCACTAAAACAATCCCGACATCACTATTGTTCAGCTCTGTCCCATTCACCCTCTCTCTTTTTTCTTGCAGTAACACTTACCCAAGATAGCGCTGCTCTGAG